GGGAGTGTGTCATATCAACTTTTAAAATAATTTTTATAGGGAATAGGGGTTTGACTAACCATCCCTGATAAGAATCCTGTTACTAGCTCCAAGTCAGGGGAGGTGAGCAAAAAGGTGACCATGTGAAGAATGGCTTTTGCAAAAAAAGCAAGCATTAGCTTAATTGCTAACACGACCACTGCTTGCTTCACATTTTTCATGTGCCGGTTTTTTTGCAAGTTTGCAATACCTGAGAACCTAATACAAGCCACCATACTGGAAAGCTTGTCCTACACCTTTTTACCTCCACCCCCTGCCCCCAGCATTTTTTCAGGTTTACCTGACAGTTTGTTGGTACAAATGTATACTCCTGGGTTAGGAATTGATACAGTGAGAGCAAAGAGTCTTTCCCAAAATAAAACGCAATAGCCACTGACCCATTAAGATTCAAACACAGACCTTTTGCAACAGAGTTCAAGTTCAATTTTTCAAAAAGTCCTCTTTTGGCAACCTCCAATTGTAAAATGGTCACCATAAAAAAGTTTTGGTCACCCTTTGCCCTCTCTCTTTTTTTTCAAATCTGTTGGTCACCAGTTGGTGACTTTTGTCAAAAGTTTAGTCACCAATTGGTGACTTTTGTCAAAAGTTTAGTCATCAATTGGTGACTTTTGTCAAAAGTTTAGTCACTAATTGGTGAATTTTGTCAAAAGTTTAGTCACCAAATATATTTTTTACATGCCATGGTGACCAAAATGGTTGTAACTTGGAGCACTGACACTGATCATTGGGTTGCCAAGAATCACAAATCAAATTTTGTCATTATTATAATAGTAATTAAATATCTACAATACGTATTTATCCTTACATCAGCATCTTCATGTTTTCCAAATCCTTTAAAGTAAAATGGCTTGTTGTTTATAAGAAGATTGGTTCCTTCAACTTTGACAGTCCTTATACCCACAGGGAGGTAATACACATCTTCTAGAGTAAACAATGCAGACCGAACAACCACCTGCAGAATACCACATAAGTTAAAACAGGAAAAAAATTAGAAACAGGAAGTAGGATTTATTGGATATCCAAGGCAAAAGTAGTAAATCAGATGATCCCTAATCTTCCTAACCTAGGATTATCTACTTTGATCCCACAAAAAGGAAAATAAATGTTTGCTTCTAAAAATTCGTTTTTTTTATTGCAAGGGAAAAGATATTTTACTACCCAACAGTTTAGGCTATGGGAGAGTCATAAACAAGTCTTTAGATGGCCAAAACAAAGAAAATCCTATAGATTTTTATTAACAATTTATTTCAACTCTTTGGTGTTATGTTGTAGCCATATAAAAAATCCAGCTTGTCAGTCAATATTGCAGGATTCTGGCTGCATTACTTTTCTTCTTCATCAACCTTGCCCTGGTGGTTCAAATGTTGGAAAATGCTATCTACTGGATAAATCTCCATCCAATGGATGGCATAGCATGTTTTGCTATCACTTATCCACTGGATAGCAATTTATCTGCTGTTACATAATATTATCTGCCCTTTATACAACTGGGCCCTAATTAACTTTATCTCTGTTCATGAACACACAAATGAAAGCATCTTTGCTGACCTTGAGCCACCTTGACATAAAAAATGGTCACTAATATATATTAATTCATAAATAAAAATTTATGGCAACAACCTTTAGTGAGTATAAATATGCAGGCTTATCACTCATTCCAATTGGCCACCATAGCATTGGATTCTTGACAGACAAAGTTTCTTCAAACATATCAGGACCTCCAGCTGAGGCAACAACAAATCCAGATTTATCATACAGAAGATATTCCACGGTGATATCACCTTTTGGAAGCATGGCAATAGTATTGATTGATGACACAGTTGCAAGAACTTTGACCTCACCAACATTGTCTGAGAAATTTGTTGTCACAGTGATATCAGAGAGATAAACAACAGGTGTGGTGTATAATTTAACTGGACGATGAATACCAGCATAGTTGAAGAAATCAAAAGTATATTTCTGAACAAAAAATCCAGGTGGATACCTGAGAAAAAATAACAAATCAAAGAATAAGTCTTAAGAAAAAATTTTTTCATGGTTCAAACCAAGAATACTCAGTTAACCCTTTAACTCCCAAGATCTGATTGTTAGTTCTTCTTTCCAGCTTTTACACAATTCTTGGCAAATAAGTTTGGGGAATTTGGTACTAGATCAAGATAACAACTTCTACCTGATAAGTTTGGGCATTCTCATTTGCCCTTTGCTGGATAAAGTATGGATATTATAGGGAGAAGTTTCATGTTAATCACTTCTGGGAGTTAAAGGGTTAAGGTAATGTGCTGTTGTTTATAATATATGTGACTTTGAAATCTCCCTGCCCACTGCCACATATTCACAATTACATCAGGTGTTATATCAAAACAATAACATATCATTGCTTAACTGCAACTACAATGTCATAATGTATCTCCCCAAAATATATTAGTGATGTAGAGAGACATTACATTTTGATCAGTACTGGATTCAAAAGTTTAGTAAGGTTTTTAAGTTTCAAATTATTGTTGAAACAGAAGGATGTTGAATTGAAGGCTTTACAGTTATAAAATTCTATCATATAATTAATATTACATTTCTATGCTACAGTCAAAGTTTAGTGTCCACTGGTTCTAAAGCAAAACCCTTTATCATAAGAACAGGTGCTCTCACAAGTGTGTAGTAGAAACTAGACAGAGCAGTTGAATAAGTACTCACCAGTCCCCCTTAGTGAGATATTGGATCTCCCCTGGGGGGAGTGTTGTGGGTGTAAGTGTGTTATTGACAGCAACAGTGATCCTGTTTGGTTTTTCAAAGGTAAGCAGAGGTGTGACATCCACTTCAAAAGGAAGATGTCCTCCTGCATGTCTCATAACTTCTTTTCCATTCAACCACTAAAATGAAAATTAAACATGTAAAAAGGGTATACACATCAGTTGAATGGCCCACAACCCAGGTGCTTATCCAATTTTTGGCAGCATGAAATGAACCAGATCATTATTAATTCTCCTGGATGGACTGCTAGTTCTTCATAGACAACCTCCTGTATTTCATCAGGTTAATTTCTCTGGCAGTTCTCTAATATTCCTTTACACTCCTAGGAAAAGAGAGTTTCCATAAAGGCAAAGTGTCTTACATAAGATAAGATAAGAATCTTACTTGACAGAAAGCAATCTTACCACAATGGTGTTGTAGTTTGCACTGTCAAATCTAAGGACAACTCTAGTGGTATTGGTTTCCCACGACCTTGGGACATAAACCTCTTTTTCATACCAAACCCAGCCAATGAAGTCCCTCAATTTCCTGTCTTCAGTGATATCATTGTAACTTGATGGAACAGGCATTGGAATTACATTCCCAGACTACAACAACAAGAAATCATAAACAAGAAAAAAAACATCAAAGAATTTTACATCAGAGAAAAGAGCTCTGATCAGGGCTCTGCTCTATCAGAATCCAGATGTCACAGGTGAATTTCTCTTATTTTCTTGGGACTAATTGCATATGTAACTTTACTTTTAGGAAAGTTATTGAGAGTTGTACACCCTTGATTTCTCAAACCAGAGCCTTTAGACACTGAGTGATAAACTTCTTCTACTATATACTCAGGTAAAAGAGCAAGGCTTTAAGACATATTGCAAAAAAATGTATGAAGGCTAGAAAACAGATGGAAAAAGGCAAAAAATGGGGCTGAGCTGGTTAAATTTATCACTCCCACAACTCCATCATTGCTTCTTGCAACTTCCAAGGCAATCATCTCAAAATAGAAAAATATTACCAGCATTTTGATTGGATGAGCTATTTGAAAGAAATATGAGAACATAATGCACACATAAGATAACAATATTTAAGCTGGAATAGAGAGCAATTTTGGACTGCATGACACAAGAGACCTGTTAGAAAGTGTTAATTCAATTGTCCAATCAAAGTAATCAGTAGTGCATGTGGAAATCATTTTAACAAGAAATTAATTATTTAAATGTTGAAAGGAATTATATTTCTCAAAGGCCATGTTTTCTTGTGTTTAAGTTAAATTCTTTCAAGTGTCAAGTTGAATTCTTTCAAATTTTTAACAATATGTAACATTTAATTCCTAAGTTCAAAACCATTTAAATTTAATTAATTTAATTCTCCTGTGTTTCCAGATGGAAAACGTTTTACACCCGTTTGCCTTAAATGTTTAGTTATTTGCCTACAGGTAAACTGAAATGTGTATCTAAGATGGAAATCGATGATAAGGAATAGGAAAAGAAGACACTCAACTGAACACAAAGGCCAATTCGTGAATTTATTGAAAAGCGCAAATGATTGTAGAAGCTGAAATCAGAAGAGGATTCCCTGGCAGTTCTTCCTGTTGTGCGAGGCAATTTCCGCTTACACGATTTGAGATTTTTCTCGGAGGCTTTATGATTTAACGAAAGTACATAAAGGCGTATCCTGATATTTGTAACTGTCTTAAGAACAGAATTTAATTATCGTAATATTTAGTTAAACTTACCTGCCATAATGGTTTGGCAAACCACATACCCTCAAACCCACTATTTCTGTTGTCTGACATATCGGCGCGAAAATCCCAGATTCCGCTCAAATCTTTGACCTCTCGGCGCTCCGAGTCTTTAGGGAATAACATGCCAGGTAAAGCGGCTGTTGTAAAAAAGATATTCACACCAACTACGATGAAAACGGAGTGTAAAAACGAAGTCTGCACCGGCGCCATGTCTTTTCCGTGCAAACCCTCAAACAACCTGTTGCTTGCACCAGCTTCCTCTCCATTCTCTGTTTAACTAATCTTCTGGGGGTGGGGAAGGGGCAGACTTTTCTTGAAGAGTTGTTCTTTGGAGACACCAGCATGATTACCGAAAACTTAATGATTTTGGGTAAGGTAATGATTTCGTGACGTTTTGTATTGCATGACACATAGTGCTTAAAATGTAAATTAAGGAAGTCGTTGGTCTCGTGACTTCCTGTTATGTTTTCCATCGGGTTTATATTCGCACTTCTGCAACGAAATATGGCGCCGAATGTGATGGTCTTTCATTTTGCCTCGACAGTGGTATTTTTGGGCAGTTACCTTTGTCTTGGGGAAACTTTGAATGCCAAGTTACCAGGCATGTTATTTCCCAGAGAATCCGAGAGTCGTGAAGTGAAGGATTTATGTGGATTTTGGAACTTCCGGGCAGATATGTCTGCCAACAGGATGGCCGGATTCGAACAGAGTTGGTTTGCCAAACCTTTATGGCAGGTAAGAAGTTGACTCCACCATTTAAACTGCATCCAGTCGTATTCAGTCGCAAAAGATGTTCATGGCTAGGGATTCTGGTCATTTACTAAGCTCTTCGTCCATGTGCGTCAGAAGCCTGTAAGAAAAAAAGCACAGTCTACTCTATTGAGAGTGAAAATCATCGCGAGCGGAGTCTTTCTCTTTCTTTACATTTTCGGTAATTAGTAGCGTTCTTTGCCAATTGAACTTTGAGGAAAAATCTCATTTAACCGAACATCATGTAATCCTTTTGCAAGTAATTGCATCGCGACTTGAAATTTTCAAGGAAACATAGAAAATAATTAAAGTCAACCCTGGAACAAATCCAATGCATAGCCTAAGGGGCGGGGTCTAAGGGTGCTTGTACTTCCCCTCAAGGTATGGGACGGGGGAACTCCTCGAAATCGTTGGTTATGATGTGCCACTTGGTTCTCCTCTTCCTTGAAACAGAAATAGTAACGATGGGTATACCACCCTGTCCCACAAAAATAAACAAAACTAAGTATGAAAAAAACCTCACTCAGCTCTCATTAGCTTTTAAGTTACTCTAAGTTGCAATGTGGTTTATGGCATGCAGTAACAATGGTTAGAGAGCTTGCTATCAACTCCTTAATTGTGTATTTTCACAGACAGGTAATGTTATTCCTATGCCTGTACCATCAAGCTATAATGACATAACACAAGACAGAGCCTTGAGGGACTTTGTTGGTTGGGTGTGGTATGACAGGGAAGTTTATGCTCCAAAAATATGGAAGTCAGAGGAAATCAGGGTTGTGCTCCGCTTTGAAAGTGCGCATTACAACACCTTGGTGGTAAGTGTTATTGTTTCTCAATATCCTTGTTAACACTAGATTTTAAAACAAAATGTTGTTAAGGATCAGAAAGAGCTCTGGTTCTTTGCAGGTATCTCTTAATATCATACCCCTAGATGAGTAGAGACATGTGTTATACCTTAGTTTTTGAGAGTGGAAGATGTAATTGTCTATTATAGGGTGTAATTCAACCAACAGAAAGAACACTGCAAATTTACAAACTCAGACAAGTACTTAATTGAACAACCTGTAATATTCTTAATAAGGAGTTATTCATAAAGGCAGTACAATATTTTATCCTCAATGAACTTACTTAAGCCACTATAGTCTATGTCTTAGCTTACCATTGACCCAAACTCACAGTTGTCTCCAAAGTTCCTTGAAATGAACAGTCTTTTACTGACAGTAACTCTCTCTCGGTATAGCTTTCCTAACAGTCAGTCACTCCCATCAACAGCAACTACTTCTACACTACAGAGTACTTATAAACATTTACAAAGTATTCCAGAATGTTCCAGAAGCTTATAACACAACTATCTTGGTAGTATTACATCATAAATACATGACCTGATAGAATGTTCGAGAAAAGTCCTAATGTATGCAAGTCAGCATGATTAAGCATACTAGAAATTTATAGATATTTATCTCACAGTTTTTATAATCCATAACACCGAACAATTACTGTATTGGGTACTGGGTTGAAAGGCCTGGGTTCATGACCTGGTAGTGTAATTGTTTTGTGTTCCTGGCCAAGACACTCTACTCTCACAGTGCTTTTCTCCATCCTGGAATATTAAAATGGGTACCACAAAACTGTTAGGGAAATTTGACAAAATATCAAGGGCTAACTTACAATAGACATCCCACCAAGGGTTAGTAGCAATACTCCTTGTCACTGGTGGTGTTAGACTCCAGCTGGTTAAGCCACTTGGCCTAAGTAAGACTTAACCATTCCTTTTAATTCATAACATTATGATCATAACAAATCTGATGTGGACTCTAACCAGAACCAGTCTACTAGATTCTCATCCCCACCACCACAGAAGAAACTTAAACCCAAACTCCTTGACTGACTTATCTTGCTTAAAGCATGAGTGATTCTAATCTGTTTGTAGTGGCTTAATGGTAAGGAAGTGATGGCTCATTCTGGAGGCCATCTTCCCTTTGAAGCAGATGTCACATCATTGTTGTCTTTTGGAGCAGTTAACAGGATAACTGCAGCAGTGAACAACACACTGACTCCTTCTACTCTTCCACCCGGAGAAATACAATACAAGACTGGTGATAGGTAAGATTAAACAAATCAAAAGGGGTCATCAATCAATTTGGCAATTCTCTGGACAAGTATATTATTTTGCTGAAGCAAAAAATTCTTTTATTGCCCATCTTTTTCTGGTCATAAGGACTGGATATTGGTGTTACACATATTTTTTTGTCCAAAAAATACAAAAAGGGACAAGGCAAAAACTATTTACCCATCTTGGGCTGACTATCAGGCTTTCCAAGGCTAGCCCATCCTGACTTCTTGATCAATAATGCATAATTATATATTTTATATTACTTCAGGTATCCTCCAGGATATTTTGTTCAAGAAACTACCTTTGACTTCTTCAACTACGCTGGTATCCACCGTCCTGTAAAACTCTACACAACTCCTGTTGTTCACTTGTCAGACATCACTATAACAACAGACTTCTCAGAGGAGGAGGGCATGGTCAAGTTTCACACCACAACATCCTCCTCAAATGTGTCAATGAGTTATGAACTCATGGATAAGGCTGGTAATGTGGTAGCCTCAGCAGAAGGTTCAGGCCTATTTGAAGGCACTCTGATTGTGAAGAAGCCAATTCTCTGGTGGCCAATTGGAATGAGCGATCAACCAGCATATCTTTATTCACTGAAGGTAATAAAAGATTATTTGCAAGGGGATCTCATGACAGTTAACTTGATCAAAAGTCTAAAATATTCATTGAAAAAAAATTATCTAGTCAGTTTATTACTTGAACTGTTGTGCTGGATAAGTTGCTTGTTGTTTCCATATTGAGCTAGTAGAAAATACTTGTTGAAAAAAATTTTGGTAGAATCCAGAGCAGTTCCATGATTTTTAATTAAAATAACAGTAACCTAAAGTCATGCATATCATTCTCTGGTATATTAACAGTTTAACTCCCAGAAGTGATGGACATGTAACTTCTCCTTATTATATCCAAACACTTTCCAGCAAGCAGTTTATGAGTGTACATTAACTAGATGGGAGAATTAAAAACCAGATCTTGGAAGTTAAAGAGTTAAGATTCAAACAAGTTGCAAAATGTTCAGACACTTCCCTATGTAAGTAACCAAATCTGGGAGAAATCCCATGCCAAAACTTTATTTGTACCATAGTTTCTTTGGTTGGAAACTCTCAGAACTGACCATAGTAAACCACAAAGGCTCGGCATTTCATATGTTCACTCCACAGTGTCTCTGACTAATGGTACCTTTTACCTGTCTCTATGCAGGTCAAAACTCATTCCCATCTACTTGATATTGATGACATTTACTACCTACCAGTCGGTATTCGGACAGTTGAGGTGAAAGGAACAAAATTTCTCATCAACAACAAGTCATTTTACTTCAAAGGATTTGGCAAGCATGAAGATGCTGATGTAAGTTGTGTGATGTGGAAACGCTTTTAAAGAAACTTTCAATCAGGTTTTGAAATGAATTTAGGACTTTGGGTCGCATTGTTTAAGTTTCTTTCTTCCTAGCCTTAAAAAGTGTATTTTGTTTAAGTACATAGTACATCTAAAACCAAGAAATCACTACAAAGGATTCTAACCAAAAAAATTGAAAAGGAACCATCGGGAACTAAAACATACACACAAACAACTAGGCAACCTGCTCTGAGCGCAGGAAAACGCGAGTGACCAAGTTGGGATTGATTTTACTTTTGCATCTGATTGGTTGAGAGGATTGCGCGAGTTTTTTTAAGACCAATTACAGAGCAAAGCTAAATTAAACTAAATCAAACTTGCAGGTAATTTAGTGTTAACAACTGGGTCGAAAACGTAAATTAGCCACCGTAAAGGGTAAAAAAGCTGACGTTTCGAGCGTTAGCCCGTCGTCAATCGCTCTGACGAAGGGCTAACGCTCGAAAAGTCAGCTTTTTTACCCTTTACGATTCAAACTTGGCTTACTTTCGACACTCCATTAAAAATTGCCCTATATTTGATTTGTCAAGAAGGTGGAACGATACTACATCAAAAAATGCTCATTTTAGGATATACGTTGTTGTTGGATTGTATTCTTGTTATTATATTCACCATCCCTTCTTGACTTGTAAATGTTTTTTGCAGATTCGTGGTAAAGGAATGGACTATGCTATCATTGCCAAAGACTTCAACCTTATCAAGTGGTTGGGCGCCAATTGTTTCCGAACCAGTCATTACCCATACGCTGATGAAATCATGGACATGGCAGACCAACAAGGAATTGTTGTCATTGATGAAAGCCCAGGAGTGGGAATTAGAGAGTAAGTGGTGAATCAGCAATTTTCATTGGTTTAGTTTTAAGTGTGAATCTGATTGGTCGAGAGGGTGACGCGAGTTCTTCAGACCTATCCTAGTGCAAGGTAAAGCAACACTCACTTGCAGATTGCGCTATCACAAAACATCCATGACCAGGTCGCGATTAGTCTTAGTTCTGCGTCTGATTGCTGGACAGGATGGTGCATGTTTTCATACCAACCAATGAGCGAAAACAATATATTGCTATTCTCGATTACTTTTGAACTGAAATTGGTGTCACTAGTCGATCGCGCTTTTTTTCATTTCTCTCACAGTCTTTTTTTTAAACAATTAGTTTCATATCCCAAAACTTGGAGCAAAGTTGTGTCCATTCAAATGAACCAAACAGACGAACACGAACATAAGCTCGTGCTGCTAGGCTCTAAGTTAGACGAGAAGAGCGGAAAAGCGTGCGCAGGAAAATAGCAGCGGACGCGAGGCGCGCAGCAGTTACTATTGTTTGGGCAACGGTACACCTGCCTTCTTGCTTTTTTTCCCGCGCCTGCTTTTTCGCTCGTTTTTACTGACTGAGAGCCTGAAAAAAAGCTATATGAACCTCTGTTTGTTGTTCCAGAAAGAACTTCAGGAATGACACGCTCCACCATCACTTGGACGTCATGGCAGAGTTAGTTCGTCGGGACAAGAATCGGCCTTCAGTTGTCATGTGGTCTGTAGCTAATGAACCGGCATCCGGGGATTCTGCCGCTGGACCTTACTTTAAGTAAGTTGTATTACACATACAAGAGATTATGAGTTGAGAGAGCCTATCCTCAATGCATGTCGGAATATGATATCGTGATCATTGGCCGCGCAATAATAGAAGCTAGAGATTAAATAACTTCAAAGCGTGGCGCAAAGTTTAAAATAGAGTTCCAGAAGTTGTCTCTGATTTTGAGGATATGTTTTCTTTGTCACCAATCTTCCCTTAGCAGATAGTATGGCAAAGCCTTTCGATGAAATTCGTGAAAGACCAAAGTATTCTACAAAACTATTAGAACTGAAAGAGAACTCAGGGAATCACATGACTGAATTCACGCACAGAAAAAAGCCAGTGACGTTGTCTTTGCGTCTGATCGGTCGGAGGGGTGGTTAATGATTTAGCAACGGAGTAACCTCGAAGTTATACCTTCCAAACACTGAATGATAGTTTTCCTTACCCTTTTCATCACTCAATTCATGAAATTCCTGCTCTCTCTCTTGCATCTTTACCATCCCTTTCGGACACAACGTTCCAATACTGTATTTGAGAGAGGGAATACTCGGTCTTCGGAAGAAAGAAGCTCTCGCGACAACTCTTGTCAACGTCCCGAGTATTTCTTTCATTGTACTGTTTTCGTTGTACTGTTTCCGTTATTTCTGTCTGAAGAGAGTAGTGATCGTTTCTCGACAGATCCGTCATCGAATTTACTCGCTCACTGGATACAACTCGACCTGTCACGTTTGTCACTTCCTCCCGCGCCGACGAAGATAAGGCGGTAAGTTCAGTGCACTTCAGTTGAGTGTTGGAAAGGAAAATCGTCAAAGCAGCCAATCACAACAAACGAAAACATCATAGTTGGCCGATAAGAACACGAAGTTAAGGCCAGAAGGCCATTTGAAGCGCGGGAAAAAGCGAGTGACCAAGTCTAAACTGCTTACATTTCGAGATATGTGCAACTACGAGCAGGCCATGGTATCATCTCATGTCAAACCCTGGCAATGCTTCTTAACGTGAATACTCTTATTTGTTTATTTATTTATTTATTTATTTTTCCTGTGGTTTTCAAATAGGTGCAGTATGTTGATGTAATTTTGTGCAATCGCTACTATGCTTGGTACGAAGATTATGGACAAACACAGCTTATCAGCCGCCAGTTGGAAGGAGAGCTCAGAGCCTGGTTTGACACGTTTAATAAACCAGTGGCACAATCTGAATATGGAGCTGGCACGATCGCTGGATTTCACATGGTCAGCAGTAGAGTAATAATCAGAGTAGTTCTCAATGAGCGTCGAAATATCAAAATTAGAGTCAGAACAACGGCCAATTAGAACTCAAGTATCAGCAGGCAAACTGCTAAAAGCGCGGGAAAACGCGGGTGACCAAGTGACGATTGGTTTCAGTTTTGCGTTTGATCGCTTGAGAGGATAGAACTAGTTTTTTATACCAACCTGTGAGCGAAGTAAAGCACACCAAAGGAATCGCGCATCACTTTCGGCACTCGATTGAAAATTGCTCTGTTTGATCCTAGACATCCCAGTTACTTGGTTTTGCAGTTGAGTTTCTCTGATGAAACCTGAATGAAGGGAATTGTGTATTTCATAAGACAAGGATAAATGCTTTGTAAATCCCCTCGCCTTCTTTTTTTGACGCAGAATGATCCAAACTAATGCCTGCAGTTTGCTTCCTTCCTTCAGGATCCGCCTCTCATGTTTACTGAAGATTACCAGGTGAGACCTTTCAAATTTACGGCTAGCTTTTGTAAATTTAATAGGTTGTGTTTCATTTTCTTGACGGAATTTTGACTGGATCTCGTTGTGCTCCAAATAAACAGGTGGAAACCATTCAGCAGTATTTCCCCGTGTTTGATAAATTGAGGGAAGAATTCTTTGTTGGTGAACTGATATGGAACTTCGCGGATTTCATGACCAAACAACGTAAGATTGTCTTGCTGTAAATGAGGTCTACAACAATTTTTCTTCTATATCAGGATACTGCTTCCTTTAGAGAGCACATTTAGACTGGGTGTTGTAAAATTGGTCATAATGACTTCATCAGAACAAAAACAATAATCTTAAGACGCCAATAAGATCCAAAGGCCTGAAGCGCTAGAAAATGCAGACGAACAAATCGGTTGAAAGCGCCAATGAGAACTTAGAGGCCTGAAATGCGGGAAAACGTGGACCAATAAATCGATGGAAGGCGCCAATGAGAAGTCAAAAGGCCGAAGTGCGGCAAAACGCGCGTGACCTACTCGTGATTTGTTTTCGTTTTACTTGTGATTAGAGAAGGTGGGACAAGTTTTCTGAACCAATCGTACGCTGTAATAAAGCAAAGCAAAGCTAAAGCAATCCCGGATTACCTTTGATACTAAGTTGAAACAGTTTTGAACTGTTTTTCTCGGATGGATCAGTACTACAGCCTTGTATAAACTAGTGGCGAAGGTTTTCTCAAACAATTTTCGTGATTTATTTTGTTTCCAGAAACGACGCGAATTGTTGGCAACAAGAAAGGTATCCTTACCCGTCAAAGGCAACCGAAAGCCGCAGCTCGGGTTCTGCGCCAGCGATACCTGAACATTTCAGTGGGAGTGGAAGGGAATAGCTGGAAAGAAGATGACACAGACTTTTTTGTCAGATTTTATGCCACTGAGAACCTTGTTGGACTCGATAATAGAACTTAAGTACTTTGAAGGTCTCTAGACTGTCACAGTGACAGCACGACCTGACAGTTTTGAACAATGACGTGACACAGCAGTGTGGCGGGACGATGATTATTAATTTTTCAATAGACAGGAACTGAGCTTGCGGATTTTCTAGAGGCACTTCTGGGTAATTTAGTATGTAATGGTGTTTGGGAAATTACAATATCTTCCATAATCTACGTTTTTATCTGTAATGTGACGATGTAATAGAACGTATCGTGCAGTTATTGAAGTGCGCGCGAGCACTCTTAAGTGTTTGAGCTATTTTAAAAATGTTTTTAAAATAAAAATCGAAACGCCTTGCAGTACATGTGACATTGAAAGTTGAGAATTACCAAACAAGGCAATTCAAAGAATTGCAAATTTCTAAGAGATTGTTGGCCAAAGAGAGATGAGGGGCTTCCCACGTCTGCTACACGCAAATGAAAATACAAGGCAACTGACTAGTACGAAGGTTTCTTTATCAGCTGTCCTTCCAGCTCCTTGGCGATGCATAAGGCCTCCATAGTTTTCTGCCAGTTGGACCAGTTCTGCGCCATATTTTAGGCCTCACCCTACGCGAACTTTTTGTTCTGGAACCACGCGTCATATTTCCCACGTACTACAGATGAATTTCCTTCCCAGACACGCACAATCTTTATTTACAAGTTTGTTGTATTGGTTTCGATAGTTACCATATTGATCTTAGAGAGTGAGTGGCCAATCACTTTCCTTCAGTCGCACATATCTGTTAGGTTACTGATGGGTCCTCATAGCCACAGTACTGGCGGTAGCCGATACTTGAGCTATGAATGAAGGTTTGCTAGTAGCAGTTACATTGTACCTTACAAGGGGTACAGGTACAGGTACCCTAACAGACAGTCCCATTCGCCCATCTCCAGCGGACGAGGCCATTAAATGTTGGTGTTTAGAAGGTATTTTGTTCCATTTTTTTTTTTTAGGGAGAATGAGAATCTTTCTGCATTAAAGAGACATGAGACCATTTCAAGTAAAACAAAGATTACTCATTAACGCACAAAAAATCGTTGATTATTGCGAGGTTTTTGATGAAGAGGTCCCAGGAATTTAGAGGGTGTCAGTCCCCCTATATTTTCCCGAATGTCGAAGTTCCAATTAGATAAGTTAAGATGTGATGCGCGCAATGAATGTTTTCTCGAAACTGGACACGCGATGCCCTAAACAAGCTAAGTGAGCCCCTTCTTCCTAACTGAGAAATTTTTCAAGCCTATTTAGTTGAGCCTGACCAAGGCAACACTGCTATCGGACTGGCTGTGGTTGCGCGAAAATAGCAAGAACAATCATTAGAAAAAAAAAAAAAAACTCTGCTGGTGGCATCTTTGCATCACAATGTGACTACTTGACCTCCGGTTAAAAAGTCTCAATAAAATCTATTTTTATTACACCGATCCAACATCTGTTCTCCCATATGGTAATATCCGTTGTTCTATTGAAAACCGAACAAAGCATGGCGGCACAGGTGTGCAAATGCCACTTGGACAAAATCAAAACATACGCTGTAGAAAAAACTTTGAAAAAATGAGCGTGATACAAATTTCAAGTGGTCGAAGTCATGAGCAAAAAAAGGAAATGGATGTTTTCAACTTCTCTGATAAGGTTACCTTTGTGTGGAACACCAGGAAATCGGCATTGGTAGACGGAAGTTTCTTTGACAAGAGAAAGCAGTTTGATATGGCACATTTTTTTTTTCATGATCCAACCTTCCCACAGAGAAAGTTTCAATGGTTTTCTCACGTCTCCATGACACAGAACCTGTGAGCTCATTTCCTTGACAGAAGAACCGATGGAAAGCGATGGCAAGGATGACCAAGATTAGATAGAATCAGTCAATGGACAGAGAGGTCGCTGTCAATATGTGTGACTATCGCATGTAAGAGTCAGAGCGGAATGGAGAAATCTGGTGTCTACATCCGGGATGGTCCAACTTAAGGGTGTGTGAACAGCCAAGCCAGGCTACTGTCCTTTTTCTGTCTCATGCGCGGTTCTCCTTCCACGGAAACATTAGTTGCAAGTACAATCTCTCAAACCAAAATCATTAGTCAAAAATTGTCTTCACTTAGAGTTGAAGGAAACTGGTTAATTGAAGGCGTGGTCCTATAAGCAGATGAAGTACAAAGCTTGCTTAACTCTCCTATCATAGAGGCCTTAATCTATATTCCTTAAAATTGTCAAACAAATTCACTTTAGTTTTGTTCTTTTTTATTTATTGTTTTTTTTTTTAATCATTTATTCTAGTGGTACTAATATCTATGTTCTTTTGTAGCCTCCAGCTAGTGACTAAAAAAAATTGTATCGAGATTTCATTCTGCTGATCTATTAAGACGTCCTGGTTTCCATCTCGGAAACAAATCCGTACACACTGTCATTCGGCTAAGTGGATTTCACAACTGCTTGAGTGTGAAGTATCAATGAAAACCTTGAAATCTCTCAGCATGTCTCACAATCTAATTGAGCTCGTTATGAACGACGCGGACCGAGGTGATTGAACTCGAAAAGCACAGATTGAGATTTAGCACGGATGTGTGGTAGGATTATAAGGAGTTTAAATGCTACTGACTCTTAGATTTCTAATGATCGGCGGATTTAACACAAAATATGTTCATTTGATATCTGTTGGCGTTCTCAATTATACGCCTCAGAGAAGAGACGGACGGTTATTTTAAGGATACTTTGTTCATTAAAGAGCTTTTTGAGTGCAGCTATGTATCAAGTAAATGTCCAGACCTTTCTGTCATGTTCTACAAATATCCAGGTGAACGGGTGAAAGGTGGGTCATATCCATCTGCAAAGATCCTGATTCCAATACTCTCTTGTGTGAGACCGTAACGTACCGTAACACCTTTCTTATCATCTAATGTTTTGTTTCGCAGTAAATTTGGGGATCTCGGTTAACAACCTCAATATACTGTGTGAAAAACGTCAGACTTTAAAGATATGACCATATATCAGAAGATATATTTGCTTGTTTCTCTTTTTTTCTTCTTTTCCATGCGATAATCTGAAACCGCTTCAGAACGCATTCAAAAAGAGCAACGTCAAAGAGGTTCGAAGGCTGAATACAATTTGCTCCCATGATATAAAATACAAGCGATAGACGCGTGGTCATTTGTCAGCCTTGGAAGATTATTGCTGATTCTCTCAATCTCTTATTTATTCTAGGATGATTATTTTTTTGGCAGATTTGTCAATTTTCTATTGTCTGCAAAACCACCCAGCTGCTTTACGAAAATATTAATTTTTTTTTTAAAAGAAGATATACTCTGGCGATTAAAAAATGCTGGGAAAAAATCCCTTTACTTTCCACGGTTATGAGTACTACAATAACCAATCTGCTCAAATTGAAAAGTACATTTTCGGTCACCTCTCATAGGGGAAAATGTAATTGGACAAGCTTTTGGAAAAGAACTGTCAAAACAAAACCTTATTGTCGCTATTTACCCAAACAAAGCTGTTTTCCCCACAACACCTGATAATACAGGGGTTACTTTTTAAAATATCTTCAACTTTAGGTAGATGGAGAGGGCTTTCTATCAAACTTTTTCGCAAATAACTGTTGAAAAAATTATCGTTGTAAATGGCTGTACATGACGTCGTGCGCCTATGCGAGAAATAATTGACTTTCGTAACTAAACAACATGCAAACGCGGCCGGTCCTTGTGAAGTTTTAATGTTTACGCTTATTGTCGTTGCGTCCACCGGCAGATCGATCTTGTAAAGATAACTATGAACATATAATGTTGCAATATTTCTCTTTGAATTAGAAAAAAATATAACAAAATGTTATGACCTTCTTAGCAACGCTTTTAAATTCATGATTTAAGAATTGAAACAAAATATCAATTAAGCGCGAAAACTCCGATTGAAATACATTTTATTATTAATATCTAAAAATCTAACAATCGAAATGGTCCTTTCGAGATTCTAGAAAATATCATGCTATTTCTTACTCCTTCAACCGTTTAGTGCAATCAAACTTGCACACAAATACACACACAAAACAAATATGAATTCGATTTCGGTATTGTTTTGCAGAAGTCCCTCGCAGTCGGCTAAAATAACTACTACAGATTAGAAGCTAAGTAATTGAAGCACTAGTTCGGGCATCTTTTATGCGGAAAAATAAACTGATTTATTCTGTCGCTCATCAATGATATTGAAACAAAATTTCGGTCAAAATAATTTACTATGTATCGTCTGAAATATTGTGAATTTTAACCATTAACAATTAATTTCGCCTGTGATAATGCTGGTTAATTTTTTTTCTACATTACTATGGTATATTTTAATTTCGATTCCAAAATCCTTCGATGGCGATCGTTTTTTTTTTCCCTATTTGGGTAAGTTTCAACTAAGAAAGAGCTATTCCGCTGTTGCTGATGCGATGACTAGTTTAAATATGTGGAGAGACTTCACCTTCAGAACTAATCAATTTGCCTTTTGAAAACAAACTGTTAATTTCCATTTTTCCATGGCCTGAGTGTAGCTTTTGTTTACAATCCGCGATTCTTAGTGAGATTATTTTTTCGCAAAGACGTCCTAGGGTGTTATCAAAATGTTGGTCACGGAGATTCTCATCAAAATTGTCCAAGCAAAAATAGTAATAATTGTAATTGCAATAAAATTAGCCTCAAGTGAAAGACCTTCGATGGAAATTTGTTTTGAAGTGCAAGATTTGTTTTTCCCCTTTCTTAGATCAAAAAGTTATCGGTGATAAATAAATAGTATATTTTGCACTTCTTTCTGAAGCCACTCGCTAAGAGCATCAAGTCAGGGAGATTGACCCGTGCCTGCTGATCACATGATGTACACTAGCCAATCAAAAATCGGTTTATGCCCGCCTCGGCAACGTCACTTGCTGCCATCTTATTTTCCGATTTCCTTTGAACGAAAAACGATTAGCGGGTCGCTTTTCCTTGTGTTTTGCTCGTTATTTAGGTCCGATGTTTAGGAAGTCATGCTCTTAGCATGACCGCTTCGACTCCCATGCTTCATGGCTCAGACTTGGATGAATGCTGCACCAACGTGTTTGCACTGGTAAGAGTTTACTTCGTTCGATTTATGAGGGTTCTATTTCGGCCTGTCACATGTTACAGTGTTCTGTGAGGTTGTAACTCCTTCTAGAAGCATGTGAATATTTATTTGCCAATTACCAAGAGGACGCTTTGGTCCTCTAGTGCAAATAGAAGATCTAGAGTCGAGAATCTGAGGTTAACTTAACGGAAAAAAACCAATTTACGGGCGTGTTGTAGAGTTACTTGCATGTCGTAATGAACATGTCCTCTATTTAACAAACGGTAGAATTAATTCATTCTAAATATTCGCCTTAATTGCCTCCAGTAAGATGAAATCCCTTGCTTCTGAGTGCTGCATCGGAAATAGTGGATCCCGTGTGGCTTGAACTAAAACGTATGCATGAAATCTAGGCTGAAAAATCGTATCGCTGGGAAGCCGTATACACGGCTGCTGTAGAAGTGAATAGATTCTGTGGTAGGGATTTGAAGGGTTAACCAGAGTTGATTTTACAAACAACTTGCTTTGGCGCTTTGCATTCGTTTACACGAATCATTCAGAGATTCCTTTTGTTTGTCTTCAATGGGGAATCTTTCTCGTCATAGGAATTGCATCGCCGTGCGTACATGGACGAGACAAGCGATTATCCAGTCGTCCATTCGTCTCGCATTATGACATTTCTCAGGATATACGTGCGTGCTTCTAGGGATTATTTTCTCAAGTCGTAAATAAAACTCTAATATGTATGTAGTTTGCGCGAAGCTTTAAAAAGTGTACCTTTACTATTATGCCATCGTTATTAGCAGACTAACGCGTTTGCATTGATTCCTAACCGATATATTCATTGAGTAGGCATTTTACCTGCAAAGCGAAGGCCGTATGCTGGGCAATATTTTTTCCGGTAGAAGGGCCGATTTTTAGTATTGAATTTAATTTCGTCGCACTGCTACAAATAGTGCCTAAGGATTGACTTTACTGTGCGTTAGTGTTAACTATTGAAGTATTCATGTTCTCTAGAAGGTTAAAATTAACCAGAAATCAGGGGCACCAGTGTTATTTTTGCCCTAACATATTTATCGCTCGAACTTGTCGCGGTGTCAAATGTAGAACTGTCTAACTCTTCAGTGAGAGAAACCGACAGACTGAATAATTAATAAGATGACTGGGTTTTTATTGAGAAAGAATTGATCTTTACTTGTTTACTCCTGGGTAAATGTTTCATGTAAGCAAAGAGACTGTCTCCGCGACAGTTTCAATTCGATGAACTCATCGTAATCTTCAGCGCAAGGGGATGAAACATTCGTATAATATCAGAGTTTTCCTCCTTGCACGTTAATTAATTTTGATGCAAGGTGTACTATAGAATGATAATTACGTATAACTACAATGGCACAGTGTCGGCGGATATTTTATTTTCATCGTATTGTGTCTGTATGGAAGGAGAGATATTCTCAAGTAACTTTCTCCTAGTGAATGTTGTAGATTTCATGTCAATTTCGGAGGGCAATGAACGACGTCATTGACAAATTTATAGCGCCATCGATAGCTTATTTCAATGTTGTTGTGCAGTGGCAGATTTTTGGTTTGATTGTGCTTTGTGAATTTGAAATGTATCTCTAAAGTGGTCATAGATCTCAGTGGTTTTAAGCTTCATATTGGCCCATGACAAATAATAAACTGCAATTCACAGATAAGTGAACCATATTTGAGTATAGGTATTAACAGGTTAATCTGTTAAATTTATCACCTCGGTAATCAAACGAGATGCAGGCGAAAACTGTAATTTGGTAAAGAAATTTCAGTTTCTCCTTTACAAAATTTCATTTTTCTGAGAACTTTCAAGAATTTTTTTTGCTCACAAAACTGGTTCACTAAACACTAATCAGAAATTATTGATCAATGGTATATTTTTATGGAATATAATTGTGAAACAGGGAAGGATTTTAAGATACAGAAGGGGTATGTACATATCCTTGTAATTACACTGTGTGACTGTTCAGTCGTATGTTTGTGTAAATTGTTGTCTGAAAGGATTCTTCTCTGTTATTTGATTCTCATATTGTAAAGCGCTGTGAAAGATATACTGTGAACAGTTGTGTAGGAATACATGGCATCCTTGGTCTTCCAACTGAGGCTTTTGTCTATTAAGTACTAAGTTAGTGTGGTAATTTATGTTTCTCTTGCATTTCCTGGTTGGGTTTGACACCTCCTTTCCATAGAGATAGTTAAGCACCAAAAATAAAATTTCATGTATTTTATGTGGACAACAAACAAATTGTTGGTGTCCGAAAATTTATGTAGATAGGATTCAAAATGACTGTGTGTTAATTTGGTGTGCATGGTTGGGTTTATACTTACTCTCTTGGGTTTATACTTACTCTAAAAGAAACAGTAGCGATTCCACATTTGTAAGAATGGTTACTTTTGTAATAACATTTCTACTATTTACATGTAGCTATTCATGTTGTTGTACATCTCAGTGGATATTTGTGATTCTGAAAGTTTCTGTGCTTAATTTACAAAGGTATTGATTGAGTGACAATGCCATATTACCAACAGATAGTTGAGGTTTCCTAAAAGTGGTATCCTGTCTTATTAATGTCATTGACACTTTGTGTTTGCTAGATTTTATTTGTTTTTGTTCTTTCGTTTGTGTTTTGTTTTGTTTTTTTAATGTACGATTGTGACAATGTTCGGATGATATTCTGCTTCCTTATTTCAGTGAGACTGCTCAAGTATTTCATTCTGTGATAAACTGAATTCTTTATTAGATTGTATTTTTATCTCCCAAAACTTGTTATTATCTTCTAAACCATGTGTCAATTAAAGGGTTTACATTAGGCTGAGCTGTGTTGTCGTGGTTATGCTGTTGTGACATTAATTAGATTCCACATACATGTTGTAGTTTTACAGCACTGCTGTGGTGAACTACCACGGCATTTATTTTTGGTTTCTCTTCACGGAAGGTTTAAAAACATTTGACCTGATCTGTGCCCTCAGGAGCTAAAACACTGATAATTTTTTCACTCTTCTCTTACAAAAGGCTTTCAACTTCCTGTTTAGATTATGGTCAAAAGTCTTATGGCATATTAATTACATGTTAGTCAAATGTCTCTGAAAGAAATGGATTATTTATTTTTGTCACAAACATGGGACCATGATCACTTCCAAACAAGTAACATCACTCTTTATTCAATTAAGTGTAATAAAAGCTTAAACACACAGTTTTTTTGTTTTATTTATACAAATGTTTGCTTGTTTACACCAAGAGTAACAATACTTGATACTGTGTGATTGTTGTGAAATCAGTTTTTGTTATTATTTGAAGTTGATTAGAGTGGAAAAGAATTGTTGTTGTTGTTGTTTGTTTTTAAACAAATGTGGATGTTTCATGGAATGTTAAAAAATGTTACAACTTTTATCACATTATAGAATTCTATGAGAATTGATATGCAAATAATTGTTAATATTAGTATAGCTACTCACTGAGGCTTTGTGACTGTAAGTTATTAGTATAGTTACTACTGCTACTCTAATTTTCATTTAATTTTCAGTGTCATGTGTTATTGTTATTATTATTATTATTGTTGGTGATAGTCGTGTTTTTAAGATTAAATAGTTATACACCACCACCCCTAGTGAGGGGAAGGAAAAATGGTTTGCCAGAATTGTTAAGAAGGAAAACCTGTCAATTAAGCCTGACAAGGAAAGATTTAGTACTCAAAACCTCAACTGATGTAATTTACACTTTGTCTAGGAAATAATATCCTTTTGCCTAAGAAGTTTTCATGTCTGAAAAACCCAGCATATCAAATTTTGGAAAGTAGGCCTGTCAAAAGAACACCTGTGTTTTGTGGGAGGTCTCATCATTGATCGCAGAATTATTTGTGATGAATTCCACTAAATTTTTAAATTGTCCATAGATTTAATCAACACTTTGTACAAAGGCAATGTTATAGTGCTGCACAATGTATGTTTGGTGAGTGTGACCATGTTGGACATGAAGACAGGTTGAAAGTTCTAGAGGATGAGATTAACTTTTGTGGTTGCTGTTTAAGTCAGGCTTAGCTCCATTTCTTATCCGCTTAGAAGTTCCAGAATGAGTCTTTGTTGTTTAAATGTATATCATACAGCTATAAGTGTAGTGAGAGGGTGTTGTGATATTTAAGTTAACTTTCCAGAATGAGCAGGAAAAATGGCTCCCTCATTTGCAGTAACAAGAGCTGACCACTTTTCATTATCTTGCCATACTTTCTGACATTTAACATGTGGTTTGTTATAAAAATAGCAATGTCTGTTATCAAATTATTCATAGCTGTTGGGAGTAACAGAATTGCAATGATCTAACTTTTATTTATGTTGAGTCATTATTTTAAAATTATTTTGGATATTTGGAATTGCATTGTAAATGAAATGAAATTAGGGAAATAACCTACATATTTCTTTTTATAATTGTTTTTTCCTAACGTCATATTCCCAAATATACTATGGGAAAAAATGTTAAGGTGATATTGCACAGCCCTACTAGCTGGTTGTTTTTCATTATAAAAATAATTATTGGTAAGGTGAAAGAAACAGCATTCAAATTATTTTAACAATCATGGAGATGTAATTAATGAAGTGTAGCTATCTTCTTTACACAAGCTATGGTTTCTTTAATTTTCTAAGGTTGTTATTTGAAAAAACAATTTTGCACAAAACAATGGGCTAATGGAAAGGTCAGACTATAAATGCAAGCGTCTTGGTGCAGAAAAATGATTATTTTTTCATTACTTGATATCAAAGAAGACATTTCCATGATTGTGAATAAATTTTAAGTTCTGTAGAGGAACAAAGTTATTACTCTACAAGTATTAAATTATGTTAGACAAACAAGAATATTTTTTTTGATTGTTGTTTTGGTATTACTGTTGTGTATGTATGGTACATAACTGTAGTTAGGTATTGAAAAAGGCGGTCGTAATCTTCTTCATGATAGTTTGTGGGTTTCAAGATCATGATTTGTTGCTTGTATTGAATCAGACTGTCTTATGTTATTATGCATGAAATATGCTAAAGACGAGAGTTTCATTTGAAACGTGACTGTATGATGCTAAAAGCATGAAGAATAGATTAGGTGAGTGCTTCCAATGAAGTTCTAACTATGAGTTGACATCTGGATGGTAACAATGATGATCGTATCTAGCAATATGTTTGATAAAAACCTCTTTAGATTTGTTTTAGGAATAAGCCACCTTTGAATTACAAAAGAAGGCCTTTTGGAAAAGTAACATAGTCCGAATGTGAATTATCAAGTAACTGCAGTTTAGTTCAATTTAAAAGACCATTCGTAATTAAGTGAAATGAATACTCCTGAATTTGAATAATTTCAAACACTGGTGTCGTTAAACTTGAAAATGAATTTATATTTCATCACTTGTTTATGGTGTGGACTGATAGTGTGGCACTTTTGGTTTATTGAATGTTTTTTATATTTTTTTGGTTTTTGTGTGTGATGCTGTAGCAGGTGGTTTTTTGCTTTAGGACTCATTTAGTATCTTAGTTTTTACATATCCAATGGATTAGCCTGTCATGTGATCGGAGATAGTTTTTTAATTTTTTACTTTTTTTTTTTTTTTTCATGCAAATTGTTGCCATTTTGTGCTTCAGTTTGTGTAATTCTACTAAATCATTCTGTTGGGGTCATATGGATACATAAACATGTCTTTTCAAACTAATCTAGAACATGCATACCATGTTCATGTGTCTGTTTACTTGTTCTTTGAATTGTAAAGGTCTATTATTCATAATTCATTGCAAATCTTGGGCCCTCGGGATATTTTTAGTTCAGATGTAGTTATTAGAACTTCACCAAACCCTCTAGGCTTATTTTGGTAATGCATTGTTGAGCTAGTCAAAGTAGGCACCGAGCTGATGTTTTTATTTCGACTCCAGTATACACTGTACAAGCACAGATTCAGCCCATATTTACTTTCCACAATTAGGCAATTAGGTGAGGTCTTCCTTTTCTTTGGTATTTACATATAAAGTTCTTCCTGTGTTTCCTTTCACCATCTTTGCTCTTAAATGGGTTTACACAGACATAACATTCTAGTCATTAGTGGCACAATACTGGGCCATGACACGTAACAGTCATGCCAATACCATTAAAAACACCTTCCGGACATTAATTTTCATAATTTCATGAGTGATCGATGTTTGGAGTCTTGCCGAACCTATCAGCAATTATTATTAAAAATGTTTCAGAAAGACTGTTATGGACAAGCTGTATGATGAGTGTTATTTTGGGTAATAACCAGCCGGTGCATCCATAAATAGAATCCCAAGGGGGCATTTTTGCTATCTACTTCACTCATATATTAAACCATATTTTTATGCTTCAGCTAGGTTGAAATTGTGATCAGTCTTGTAGAAATCAATCCTTGTGTATTATTCAATTTTCTTTAATTTCCTTTAAAATTTTCCAGTTTTTATAGTTCTATGCCACTTTTAATTCTGGTATATTTCTGTAATTTACATTTTGCCTTATCTTCCGTTGTTTGTGACAGCCATATAGACATTGTAATACATGTAAGCACTCCATTGGTCTTATATTCTGCTTAATGATATGTCCATCTGTCAAGTTTATCCAAATTTAGCTATAAAACATTAGTTTTATCAACTTTTCTAAATTAGTTCAGTCTACTTCCCCTTTTCAAGCCAGCATGTGGTAAAAATGTTGCACCATTCTATACTGGATCTGTCTCTTAGCTAACCTGTTACACCCTAATATCATTATGCATATGTGCCAAACTATTCTGTATACCTTTACTGAGGCACTGACATGGAGAATTTGTCTAACAATTGAGAGGTTCTTTCATTGGATATCATTTCCTTTCTCGTCCCCTATCATGCATCTTAATGTTTAATTCAGTGATGGTACTTAAGTAGAGACTATAGGAGAGTTCAAGAATTGTCAAGCTGCTTGTGCATAACACTTTCTATAATATGTGTTTTTCAGTTGTAGGCATAAACTGTGATATCATCAATTTTAATGAGAATTCTATCATGTGATCCTATGAATGAATATGATCCAGTCGTCATCTGGTTGCTTAGAGGCTGTGACCAATACTTCTGAAAAAAAAAAGATTTGATAGGAGATTGTGTTTAAAGTGAAGTATCATTATCAGTATTTTTTTGGCTAAATTAAATCACTGTGATAGAGTTTTTTGTTTCGTTTTGTTTTGAATTTTACTTTATGTTGCTTCCATTTACAGTAATTTGATACTAAAGTTGGTTTTATTTGCACAAGACTGTTACAAAGCTCTTGACAATCAGGATGAAACACTGAGTACAAAAAGGAAATGAGCTTGTTCCTTTGTTTTGCAAATTGATCATTTACAACACTCATAACTGAATATGCAATAGTTCTGACATGGCATTTTTATCCAAAAGAAGTGGTCATACATTTATTCATCTATCACTTTTTTCTGAAACAGTTTGAAATTTTTAAGGTAGGTGTACCAAATTATATTTACATTAAGTGACATTTAAAATGGTGTGTTTGGAAACCTCTGAGCCATATATCTCTCAGTATCTTACAAGATGTTTGCAGTGTCTTTAAGTCAATATGCGGCATTTTGCCATTAACAGATATATTGTCATTTGACAATAACATCTGTCGTGATTGAAATTTAGAGGTGTTTCAAAGGTCAATTGTCAATTGAAATCCATTTTATGATATATATTTTTAGTATTTGTCTGTATCAACAAAATATTAAAAAAAAGCAAGTTTTAGATGTTAGATACCAGTGAAGACTTAAGTGTAATGAAAGATGATACATGGTTTTTCTCTGGTTATCAGAGCAAGATTTAAAGTCTACTTAACCCATTAATGCCTAGGTGTGTCAAGCATTTATTTTCTCCTCAATAGGTCTTGTTTACTAATGAAGCTGGTTTTTTGTTAGAAAAATTTCTAATGTCAGTTCCATAGGATGTGTACACTGTATAGAGAAAAGTATACTCGATAAAATGCAGAGTGATTTTATGGTGTAAAACCATGAAGGAAGTGTGGAAGACATTGTGTTCTTAACTCTTTCAAACCCAAGATCTAATTAATAATTTTTTTATTGTCTATGATACAATTCCCATGGTGTTGGATAGAATTTGGTATTGGATCAACCAATAATCCCTTAATTGATGTTTTTCTTTATTCTCATCACTTTTGTGCTTCATATTGTTTTGATATGGTAAAGAGAAACTCTGACTTGATCAGACTCAAGATTGAAAGGTTTAACTGGTAATAAATAGACTGGAATGTATATCTAGAGGTCTGTATTTAAGCCTGTGGGTGGTCGTCATGTTTTGTTTTGTAGACAGGGAACTAAACTCTCACAGTGTTCATTGCCAGCCTGGAGTGTAAATTGGTGCCAATGATGTGTCAGGGTAGCTGGTAAAATGTTAAGGGGCTACCCTGCCTTGGGCTGAAATTTTTTATCTAATAAGCTGCATTATACACATATTTTGATTGGTTTTTATCCATGATCTATTTGAGAACAATGCTTAGATGATGTCAGCTTTGGCAAATGTGTTTTACCTTGCTGTGTTCTTTTACAGACTGATTTATGTGGGTTAAAATGGCGCAAGTATGTTTTCAATTTCACGTGCCAAGCCAATCCTTCAGAGGATCCTGTGTTGAAGTCATTTTCAGCAGCTCTCAGTCATGATATCCTATGTGCATGGCGGAGGTGCCCTTTGACAGGCTGTCAATCAGGTGGAGATCCTAAGAGTATCAGTGGTGCAAAGGAATTGTGGGTTTTCTGGTTTGGTGATGATCCCAATTTACAAGGGATTGTATCTGCAGAACTAAAAGGTAATGGCTCACCCTTTTTATAACAACAAGTTCTTTAAAAGGTTATGTCTCATCAGGCACTTTTCCCTCAAGCTTTTCCTTTGAGATTTCACATGGGAAGTTTCTCCTTTTTTGAACATGTCGTGTTTTGAATGCTCTGGAATCATCAAGTTTTGCATACAGTTAAAGTTTTGCATCTGTAAGGTTTTGGTAATTTTGCAGTATTTTGTTATCAAGTCTTAAAGATTAAATTACATCATAAAAGTGTTACACTCGGCAAGATCCAATTTAGCTTTTGTCATGGTGATCAAAAGCACAAGACATTAAAAATAGCAGTGACGATCTGTTTACATCACATGACATATTATCCTGTCTATGTGTTTGGTGTTTGTACAGAATTGTTCCTGTTTGTAGGAATTTGATACAGGTGTTTGTACAGAATTGTTCCTGTTTGAAGAAATTTGATACAGGTGTGACCACTTGATCTCTCAAAGGGGTCAATCCTAAAATTAAGCTTTACCATATGCGATGAGTTTGTCTTGCTATTTGGATTATTAGAAGGATTATTTAATAACTGTAACACAACTATGTATACTTTACTTTGTTAATTTTTTTTTAAAATTATTTTTTATAGAATCATGCCATGGGTGTTGGGAAGATGGTTTGCCTCATGAACCAAGATCGTTATTATTCAAAGCTTTACATAATTTATTAGAAAGGTAAGACAAGTGCACAATGGTGCTATGGTTATTTTTAGCCCTTTCACTCCCATGATCTCATCACTAATTTTCTTTGCTGTCAGCTATATATTTTGCATGATATTACAAGAGGAACCATGTGCCTTAGTTACTGCCTCAGTGGTCATTTGAAATGACCAATTGTGCATTATAAGACAATAGAGGAGTTGACGGAAAGAACCAAGTCTAATCGAAAAGGGTCCTCAGGAGTCTGAGGAACTGCTTGGAATATGTAAATCACATGTCGTCAGCTGTCACAGTTTTAACTTGTGAGCACAATTTCTACTTATTCCAGAAGCCTTTTCATGTTGGGTTTTCAAAAACAAATGGTCTGTTTCTTTTCCTTTCATAGTGATAGAGTCTGCATTTCTTGTAAGATACTTGAGTGCTGTTTACACAAGCTTGACATTAATATATTACCCCAGAAATTAATTCAAAGGGTTCCAAGTAGCAGAACTTCAGTCAAATGTCAAAAAAAATTTGGGTTTTGTTCTTTAAAGCTAACTGTAGGCTAAATCAAGTTGGGTCACAAAAAAAACACAAACTGCAGCTTGTTTGGTTTTACACATCAGAAATTATGTATACTCTCAGGAGCAGACCTTACATCATTGGAGTTTCTTGTGCAGAGATCAACAAGTTGTGATGAAAACTCTATAAAAAAAAAAAAAAAGAGCAAACACAGAGTTTTGTGACTTTATTAAACTGTTAGTTTCTCTCATGGCTGTTCCCTAGGCTGTTGCGCAGTGTTTCTTTCTGTGACATCCATCTCGCATTGTTCGGTGTGTGCACATTCAGCGTTATTTCAACATTTCACAAAGGAATAGGATATGAAATTTAACTAACAACCCACTGTATAAAGGACAACAATCAAGCTGAAGATTTCAGACAACTTCTTGGTTTTCTGGATTTTTGGTGATGAGTCCTGAAAAAAATTTCATTTTCACATTTGTGCAGACATTTAAATTACTTCAGGTTTTTATAACATTTCTTTTTCATTCCTGCATCTTTCTTTTTTAGATGTCTACTGTCAAGAAAATTTGTTCGTTTGGGAAAATGGTTTACAAAACCATGTGAAAGCAGTTTGGTGGAGAATTCAAGGTGGATTGTTGTTTTACTTTTTCAATAATATATATGTATATGTGGTTTGTTCAAGAGGCCATGAAACCATGTAAATCAGCATTTACATAATAATAGTCTGCCTTGTATTGGTAACATAAACCATAACCTCAATTCACCCTGAGCCTGGGTGAGAATCCTATTTTCCTCACAATGATGATTGATGTAACAATAGCATTTGTGTTCTTTTGTCTTCAGCAATCATCTTTCATTCTCATTTTCCTTCTTTATCCATGGGGAGAGTTCTGTTTGTACAGCTGTTGAAATTCAACAGCAACAGAAGATGCGCCATCTTACACTTGAAGATGTAGCTGTTGCAGCAACCAAACAGGAAGGGCTCCCAGGTATAGTTATATATCACAAATGGTTGCTTGTTTACTAGCCAGAACTGTAAATCACTGTTGTATATTGGACTGAAGTACTGATAAGGGAAATGGTCTCACAGTTTATTGGATTAATTAATTTCTTGTAAAAAAATCCCATCCTTAGAAAAGGAATGGGAAAAGGAAAGAATGGAACAGATTTTGAAATATATAGCATACTGTGCATTGTTCTCCTTAATTTTAGCACAACAGGTGAGAGCTATTTTTGACCTGGCAGTTAAATCCTTGCAACTGTTGAATTTCTAAGAATTTTGGGCACTTTTAGGTGGTATTAGGCTGCATACATGGGGTAAATTTTCTTGGTTAGCAAAACAATTAAAAAAAACATCTTGAGACTGACCAAGGGGAAAAAATTACTCTAGAAAACAAAGGATGTCAGTTGTCTTTGACATAAATGGTTTTATTTAACTTTGGACCACAAACACAAGCTACATGTAGATATTTTAGCTCTCTTCATTTCTGCCAAACACAGGCCCCAAATTGGCAACCTTTGCTGCAAATTCAGTCAACAAAAATTTTTCAAGTTTTGATGTTGACCAAAATGGTGGCAGCTCAGAGTGCTGTGGCTGGAAGACTGCTTGTGGTTGACCTTTAGTTAGTCCTAACCCTTTTACATGTTTCAGAGAGCTTATTCTGTGTACCTTTACCTTCAGTTTTACTGGGTCCGTATGGATTGTCAGGATTTCTTACTGGGCAAACAAGCCACATGGAAGAGATGGTGTCAGCCAAACTTGTGGAAGAGTGGAAGAAGTTTTATCCTCTTGACTACAGTTCTGATTGGAGTGAGCCAGCAAGCTTGTGTCAGGACAAGGGTGTTCCTGTGGCAGTGATGGTTGTTGTGGAAGAAACACAGATGTGGTATCCATCCATGTATGTTGTTGTGCCATATGAGAAGAATACACCAGTTGGTAAGTGTTTTGCAGTGAATAAATAATAACCATATTAATTTTATTCGATCAAGCACCTAACCTGTAGTGAGCAAGTACACCATACTTGCACCTCTAGTAAGCACTGACCCTGTTAGTTGGAAAAGTTAATAAGTGTCTAGCCTGGAATGAGTGGATGAGAGGCCCCAGTGAACTCTTTTAGTAATATTTAACAAAAATAACACAAGTAATGAACTCAGGGGTAATTGTTGATTGTCCAGACCAGGGTAGTTAGGAAAAAAAAGACTTGTTGGCAAGTGTTACTGACACCTCAACAACAATGAGGAAGTCATCATTGCAGGCTAGAGAGGAATTAATTTTCATAGATTGTCTGAATCCTGTTTTTCATAAACTGATCTGTCTGATCTGATCTGTCTGTTGCACCATGATAGTATGTGTACTTTACTGGAAACATAATTACTTCACATGCATACAGTTACAGAATCACATTCAGCAATCTTGATGGACTAATTCTTGTAACCATTTAACCCTTTACCTTTAACCTTCTGCAGGTGGGTCAGTGCCACCCAAAACTGGTGCAGTGACCTGCTCTGGTCCAACATCACTAACCCCTCCAGCATCTCCTCTTGATCCCAACTCTACAGATGTTGTTACAGGTCCTGCAAATCTGCCTCCAGCACCTAATTTAACCTCAGGGGGAGTCATAGACAAGAAGAAGCTGACACATTCCTTGGTACAAGAAGTTTGGCAAGAGATCACAGTCACCAAACCTGCAGCAAAGTATGTAAACTTACAAACCATGTTTGCTGTAGACAAAGGCTGGAAATTATACTAATCTTATTAAGTTCCAAAACTGTTGAACATCTGAGGATAGGACTAAAAGTGACTGTCTTCTAGTCAATCTCGAAAGAAACCAGCCTTTTAAAGCAAAAGGCTGACCTTCGACAGGTGGGAATGAAAATTCCAGGTCTCCATCTAGTTGCTGGGTACTGTCTGTGAAAGCTCCTTATTGCTGTGAGAAGGGGCAAGCCATACAAAATCAAGATAAATACAAAACTTTAACCCTTTAACTCCCATGAGTGACCAAGATAGAATTTCTCCCTACAATGTCAATACAATATTAAGCAGACAAGTGATGAGAATAAAGAAAAATATTAATTAGGGGATTATTAGTTGATCCAATACCAAATTCTTGAGATTAACATCACAAGAACTAAATGGCAGACAGTAAGGAGAATTACTAAAGAGATCTTGGGAGTTAAACGGTTAATTGAAAATTTCCTTTGTGATGATGTTGAGAAAAATCTCTTGAGAGACATTTCAGCATTTTCAGAATTGAAAATTTTGAAAGACACTATGATAAGTCTAAGTCTAAGTAAAAGCTGACTGGCTAAGAGGATCTAACTTGATAGCTTTATGGTGCTTTCTAGAAAATACCTCTACTGATGTTTGAAATATACATTTTCTGGGTAGTGTAATGCACAGCTGCAACACTCCTGCATGTTTTACCTCAATTACAGGGATAAGGTTTATATTAAATTTTGTTGGATATAAAAAAATATATATATAATATTATATATATATATCTAAGATGTTACTGCCTGACTGACAAGTACTGTCCTTTCTCCTCAGCAAAAACACCTCCCTGAGCAGTATTTCAAAATCAACTCCATCTTTTATGAAAGCAGACAGTTCAGGTGATACTACTGTACCAACAGGACAATGGGATTTTGAGGAGCCTTTCAAGCGCACTTCCTGTTCTTGTACCTCAAGTAGTAACATTAGCAGGTGAGTTGCTAAGCAATGTAAGCAGTCAGTTGTTACAATAATGAATTTATCTTTCTGCATAAATGGAGACAAAGCAGTTTTCAGGTCAATTGTAATGACTGCATCAAAATTATCCACTAGTGGCCACCTTGTTTTCATTGTTTTAACTGAGGAGCCATATTGTGTGTCCTTTGAATAAATGAGTACTTTCCTTGCATTCAATTTGGTTGCTAAGCAAATATTTGGAAGTTTTAGCATTTGAAAGAAGCACCAAGAAATTCAATAAAATTTTGGATTAAAAAAGTCTATCTTTCCATCATAATCCTTTACACCCTAACATTGGTACATCAATATTCTCGATACTCTTCTCTTTACATTTCCTTGTGTCTGACAAGGAGAATTTGTTTACCAATCAAAGCCTCCCAGTTTGGCAATCATTTCTTTTATTCTCATGATCTTTATAAGTGATTCAGCAGTTTTACTGTAAGGAGAAATTAGATGCTGGTCACACACGTTTAAAAGGTTAAGCAAAAAGCCAAAAATGTAACAAATCAAACTTTTTAGCTTCCATATTTTGCTCTCTCTCTGGAGACCTAAAGGGAAAAGGGTCAAGTTGCCTCTGGGCAATTTGGAACCTACACCCAATCCTTACGAAGCAACAATGATATGATTCTATTTTACTTTTTGCTGTCAGACCAAAGGCACCAGCTCAAGTCCGGTCATCATTTGGTATAAGCAGACCAACACCATCCCCTAGCTATCCACTACCTTTGCCTCAGCAACAACAACAGCTGCAATCCACACAACAAAATCAGGGGAATACAAAGTTGAAGAAAGAAAAGAAGAAACCATTGGTGCCCTTTCATCATCGTCAGAGTCTTGATAAAGAGAGACCCGAAGCTCTGAAAAGTCATGTTGGAGCAATGACCAAAGGCTTACCTACGTCAAATGTATCGACAAGTGTCACTCAAAAACGTCATCTGGAAGTTGCTTTTCCACAGAACTCAAGGAAATATCAATCAACACCTCTTGTGAACACAAGTGGAATATCAGGATCCAAAGGTCATGCGATAAGTGCAAAGACTGAGGATAAATGCTTACAACCTCCAACTTCACTTCTGAAAGTAAACCCTTCAATATTATCCTCAAAGGCTATTGCCAATAACCAAGCAGAAATGACAGCGAAGGTAGAATCAAACAATTTTGAAGATTTTGTAGGTAACAAAGATAGTACTGCATCAGAAGATACTGTGAAGAAGTGCTATGCTTTGCCTTCAGAAGTTGGTTTCACTGTCCCTCTACTGCCAAGTGATCCTCTTGACTGTCGACCACTAGGTGATCTGATGGTATCAAAAGATGTTCCAACACCAAGTCCATTGGAGACAACTTTGTGGGAAAGGTATGTGAAGGGCAGAGTGAAAGAAAAGTGTAGAGGGACAGGCCAGACTCTGGAAATATTTCCAGGCCTCTGGTGTCTCACATGGTAAAATAATCTCCTGGAGGAAACCTAAAGGGGCTAGGGGGCGGGATATCCCTTAATGGCTCATAAAGGTAGACTGCCTGAAAGTAGTAATTTTTCAGGCTTCGGTTATTCAAAATGGTAGAAATTTTTTATATACTTATTTGTCAACAAGCCCTTGAAATTCTCTTGAAATACCATTCATTAACTTCACTACTCCAGTAGTTTAGAAACAGGATACAGAGGGTTTTATTAGCTTGTGAAAGGAGTTACCAATTTAAAACCATAGTTACAAGAGTTTTAGTGTTCAATTGTTTTTTTGTTGTATGTCAAAGGAGTATTTGATCTTCATTTTTAGCAGTAAGAGACCTTCAATTGATGGAGGGATTGAGTGCATACCTTCGCCTGCTAAAAGAAGAAGGGAATCTTCCACAAGCAGATCCAGGTCAGATAGCACAGGAGGAGGGGGTCGACTAAAGGGGCGGAGGAACAGCTCCCAACCATCTCCAGCAACCACTCCTCTTTCTGATCCATTTACTCCTCAACCTGAGGAACTGGATATGGAAATGATTCAGCCACCCATGAAATCACCCACACAGGTGAAGCCTCCCTCAAATAAGCCTCGGCGGAGAAGTAGTGCCACTGGTGGTGACAGTCCATCAGTGCCACTACCAGGAGAGCTCAGCAAACCACCTTCACGGCTGAAAAACAGACGGCAGAGCTCTCGCAAAAAACAACAAGAGGAAAAGGAACGCTTGTCAAAAGAGATGGAAGAAATCAAACCTTGCCCAGTTGTGAATGAGAAAGGAACATTTCCTAGTTTTTCATCTTCCGACGATGAACATGAACCCATTGCCCGCTTGCCAACCAATCTTATGACAGAGCAAGATCTTGCTGTGACTGTAAATGACCTTGATCAGTTGTTTGACACAGATGAGGAAGATGATGAACTTGGGCAATCAAAAGCAATGAAGATAGATTTTGTTTCAAATCAGGTTGCCCCCTTTGATCCTATCATGAACATAAACACTCCTCATACTATTATGAGCACAGTTGGAGTAACAAATCAAGACTTGGCACGCATGTTCCCCACACCTCCCTCCCAGGAAACAGTGACGCACTCACCACCTTGTTCTGTTGGCAATGACTACATCAGCCCGGGAAGTGTTAAGACCATCATGCACAATACAGTGCTTTCTCCAGAATCACATCTGATGCATCTTGCTGGTGTTGATGCTGAAAGAGAGAAACAGCACAGTCCAATGGTTTGTGAATTTTTCTTATGTTTTTTTTTCTTTTCATTCGAGCTATAATTCATGTTGTTAATTATTCAAAAGAATTTGGTGTCATATCAGGAAAGCACCTTCTTGCTGAGGCACTTTGGATTTCTTGTCTCTTGTTACCTGTTTGCAAACTATTGGGTTAATGTTATAAGAAGAAGTGATTAACTTGTAACTTCTCCTTGCAATTCCAATATGTTATCCTGCAAAGAGGAAAGGAGAATAGACAAGTTTATCTGTAAGAATAAGAATGTTGTAACACCAAATTCCTCTGTCTAATTTACAAGAAACTTTATGGCAGTCATTAGGGTGAAGTACTTATTTAATATTCTGAATTAGCAAAGAATTTGGAACCTCAGTTTCTTTCATACTTGGATTAGACTTTGTAGCAGTGTGGCCAAGTATTAGGAAAGTGATGACTTGGCTTTTTTAATGAGCATTCTTCCCCCTCTCCAATAAGCCCCCTTCTTTGTGGAATCTGCAGATATCATTAAATGGCCACCTCTAGGGAGCTTATGAAAGGGCCCCTGTCAGAAATCCCTCAAAATTGCTAAACCCTTCAACCTCAGAGGGCATATTATAGGGTCCCTGTAGGACATTATTTAACCTCCACCTCAAGGAGTCTATGAGAGGTCCTATTGTCACTATTAAACCCCTTCCCACCCCCAGGGGACTCTTTAGTGGGCCTATGGTACTCTCATTTAACCTGAGTTAAATTCATGTAAGAAACTAAAATGTAAGAGACTTTTAGGTGTGGCTTTGAAAAAAATCTAGGCTTTACTTATAGGGTTGTTTACTGTACTTTCCTTTTTTTAGGAACTTGGCCCAGTGTTTGAGATCCCAAAAGTCCAAGAGTTTCCAGTCTCCTACTCCTTTGAAGCTGTAGTTGGTTTGCCTGATTACCAGGGACTGCCATCTGTGATGCAGTACTCACCTTCATGGCAGGTGAGGAGACAAGCAATAGCTCTCGTTCAGTATTCATTTAGAGCCTTTGTCACATTTTGTTTTGTCTCTGACCATTTTCTAGATTTAGCAAAACTGGCCTTAATTGACTAAGGCAATGGTTAAGTTCGAAGTCAGAATGAAATTTGAGTCTAAAAGAGTTAAAATATTTACTTAGATGTTTGAAGTAATCTTTATCTCCACCCTTCTGATTATGTTTGGTGCCTCTGAGGAATTTGTGAGAATTTACCAGTGGTAATGGTGTTGTCATTAAAATCTAAGACTATGAAAAAAGTTTGTTTGTTTGTTTGGTTTTTTCATACTGGGTGGATAATAAAATTTAAACCGCAAATAGATGTTGAGTTTTGATAGGTGATTAATTTGGTAATACCTTATACCCTCTATACAAAGAGGTGAAATTTGATAGCATCTGGAAAGTAACAATAATAGTTGGTCTTTTGGGCCTTTGTCTACTGTGTAACCACTTCTATGTATGAATTTTTGATTGCTCATCATGTTTCATCATGTTTATTTGCAGCAGGCATCCCAGAGGAATTGGACATCATCAGAAACCAAAGTGGAGAGGTTAGTAATATATTCCCTGTTCGATGTGATTCATGTCAGTTTTATTGCTTCTAGAACAGTGAAGCTGTTACATGTAGATTCTGAAACACTATAAACTGGGAAAATGTCTTCCTTGTCTGCAGATCTTTTCCCATATTTGATAATTACTGCTGTAGGCATCTTGGGTTCAAATGTGTGATAAACATAACTTCTTGCTGTGAAAGTATTTGTGGCTGAATTATTTACATTGGAAAGCTCTAAGACATCTTGTTTATCTCCAGTTTTACTGTTATTCACTCTCCATTACCTCTGGGTTAAGGATGTGGAGTTCTTGCATGAGTTACTCATTTGAAGTTTTGTTTGAAATTTAGCCAGATTTACAATGATTAGCAAGTTTGACTTTTGATTTCCATTTTTTTCAGTGCTACCGAGGTGTTAAGTTGTGATATTACCATTGGTGCTCCCTCACCAGCAGTTGGATTCACAAACACCCATCCTGCAAGTGTTAACAGTGATGTCAAACACTTGACCTCTGCAGCAATGTCTCCAGCTTCTCCAGCATCATCAGTGTCATCATTTTCTATGCCGATGCAATTTCCAAAGACTTTTCATGGAAGTAGCCTTGTGGTGAAACCCATATTTCAAACACCTCTGCCAGAAGCAAATTCTTTATCAAAGGTTTTGAACTTGTCAGACTCATGTGCAAACTACTTTAGTGACAAATGCTATGACAGTGTAAGTCTCTGTTCTTGTTTGACATCCTCAGAGGGTGTGCAAGCCAAAGGGAACAAAGGTAGAGACTCTGATTACTGCGTCTGTGGCTTTGGTGCTCTTGAGGCAGTAAAATTCACTGCCGGCACAGGTCTATTTCCTGATGATATCCACTCAACCTCCGCTGAAAATGTGAAAACTCTGAAAAAGGTTAATAATGTTCCACAATCTGCAGTTGAAGTGAAAAAGGAAGGCTCAGTGTCACACTGTGTGAGGAGACGGGCTTCAGCTACTGCTGTTTCCTCACAAGTACCATTTTGTTTGCTAGAGGAGATTGTGAGTCAGTGTTCTTCGCCTTTTTCTTGTTACAACTTGAAGTTACAACTCATGTTTAAGGGTCATCATGGAATTGTCAAACATGTCTCAGGTGCATGGTCACAAAATAAAGGTGAGTTTGGTAACATGTTACTTGTTTTCATGAATATGGCACATAGCAAAAATCTGAGCCACAAAGAACCTGTTGGTGAGCTAGGCCACAAAATAAATGTAGGAAAACAAAAAAATTTACTCTGTTTCTTCATCTGATTACAAAGGCAAGCTTTTGCTGAAGAACTGGCCACTGACAGGGGTTTCATAAGTTTGTCCACTAGTGTCTACTGATGGTGAAATCCTTGGCTGTGACTGTAAAATTGTAGATTGTAGAAAATCTAGTAGTAATTGTTAGTTATTGGATATATATAAATTATGAACTATATTTTCCAGTAGACTTAGAGATATAATGCCCTTTTTTATAACACACATTTAGATTACATAGATTAAATACAATTTTGTAATTCACATTTTCAATATTATTCAATTTATATATTTATTAATTTTATCTAAAATTATTATTTTGTGTACATGCAATTCAGCCCTCCAGCTGCAAGTTGCGCTTTTTCAATAAACATATCCACCATCTATCTACCATCTATCTACCATCTAAAATCCTAACAGATGGCAGTGAAAAACCTGGTTAGGCTAATCTTAAAGCCACACCAGGCCACTATTGACTTTACCTTATTGAAGCTTCTGTTCTGAACTAGAATGATTATTCGGGTAATCCTTTAAATTTGTCGTGTTTTTGAGGTAGTATGGCCTAGTGGTTAAGGCCCTGGGCTTGTAATCTAGTGGTCCTGGTTTCAGGCCCTCCTCCCTGCTACTCGCTAAATTTTTTTTTTTTTTTCAGTTATCACAAACCCAACTCCTTGGCTGCCCTTAAAATATCATATAGCCAACTTGTCTACCTCCTGCCATTTGGGATTTTTAAACACTATATTCATTCACTTACTCATTTGTATTTAAACTGAAAAGCTCCATTGGGGAGTGGTCAATTGAATATACCTATAAATACATACACACACACATAAATGCTTAACCTCTGGATCAATGATTATTAATCTATTGAAAAAGTGTGATTGCAGTATTTTGGCTCTTTACTCATGAAACCCTCTGACTTGGAGTTCTCTCTAATAATTTTTTTCCTTTAGGTGCAGAGAATGGTATACCACAGAAAGTTCCTCATCCAACTGCAGTTGGTGCGCTCAACTTCCTTCGTCAACTAATGCAGGATGCTCTGCAAAAATCAACAAGCAGAAAAACTTGGGAGCAGCCCAATGGAACAGTGGTTCAGGGACCTTTGTCTTGGAAACAACTTCATCATCTGGCAACTAAAGGTCTGTTTTGTCTTGTTGCAATTTTTACTGTTCTGATAAAGGCGGAGGCTTAAATGAGTGGTTCCAGAGTAAACTATCAATTGAAACCATGTACTCTTAATAGTGAGAATCTTTTAAAATTCAAATGTACTTCCTCTCTTCTCAATTAGGTAATGAGGAAACACCACATGCTCAGCCAATTCCATCAGTGACAGTAGGCTATGGAGGAGACTGGATGTCCCTTTCTCCTATTGCATTACATTTCTGGGTGAGTTAAAATATCCTATTTTGGAGATACTGTGGTGTAACTGTTTGCCTAAGTACATTGGGCTTAGATGTCTGTATGTGGCTTTTAAACTTGTATTTTTTTCTTTATTCCACTTTGCAGGAGAAGCTCTTGCTTGAACCTTACTCTTGTCAACGTGATGTTGCATACATTGTTGTAGCACCAGAGAATGAGTTAGTGTTGAATAATGTGAAGTTGTTCTTTAAGGAATTCAGTGCAGTGTATGAGGTAAAGAGATCCTTTTGTTTTTGTTTTAATGAGGCTACACAATTCAAGTCTAATTTAGGCAAGGTTCAATGAAGCAAATGCAGCCAATTCACCTATAAGATGTAGGGAGGGCCTGTGGAAAGTTTGTGGGGCATTGCCATATGCTTTTGGGCCCCCTGTGCTTTATTTCCCTTCCTACCTACCTTCCTCCTCTTTCCTCTCCCTCCCTTTCTCCCTCCTTCTCTCCCTTCACGTAATCATTTCACATGCTGTTTGGTAGGTAGTAGAGGTGACTGAGACCCCTGCACTGGTTTGTTGCTTCCTTTAATGCACTTAGCCTTTGGTGCTCTGACTTTGCAAATTGTTTGGACTTTGAGTATTAGGTCTGCCGTTCAGTGTTTTCCCCATATTGAGACTGGATGATATTCTGAAATTTGAGGCACAAAACAGCTGGAACTTTCAACTTTGAAAGATGAGGAACGTGGAGTATTAATTGGTTGTGGGGGCGTGCATCAGATTTTAGCCTCAGTTGTGCTTTGAAAAATTTTTCATGGGTTTATTTTTGATGACTCTTTGAAGTATAATGTCATTTTTCATTTTTGCTCAAGGCTAATTTTCTATTCTTCAGACTTGTCGTCTTGGTCAACATGTTGCCATTACCAAGGTGCTCAGAGATGGAATACTGCGGATTGGTCAAAAGTCACTTAAACTTGCAAAAGAACCTGTTGATGATTGGTTCTCACATCAAGGTGATCATAATGTTATTGACTTTGTCAGTAGCCTCTGATAAGTAATGGTAATAAGACTGGGTGGAGTCCAGTTCAGTCTGTAATCATACCAGTGACATATTACAGGGGGGTCTGATTAATTTATCACAAGTATGATCACAGAGCAAATTGGACAACATGAAGTCTTACTACAAATTAATCATAAAAATCACAATTTCCAAGGAAAGGAGAATAGCCAAGTTATGAAAGAAAGGGAAAATTGGCATCAAAAGACTGACAAAGGAGGCGTAAGTTGTTGCTATGGAGATTGAAACCAAGGTTTCAATTGGTTGATCTAAACTACGACTTTGAATGTGATTGGTTGATTTAAACTACAACTTTGGATGTGATTGGCTTATTGAACTGTCTGATAACAACTTGGCAAGTGAATTAGGGGGAAATAGGAATTTTAAAAGGGGATGCCGCAGTGAGATTCTGCTGTGAAATGTTTCGAAGTATAAAGCATAGTCATCGATCCTCTGTTTAAATATGACAAGAAAAAAAAAGTCTTGACACCAATAACTTAACTTTTCTTGTTTATATCACTTTTCTTGTATTACAAGGATCAGGTAAAAAAAATGTTTTTGTTGGCTTGCCAGTATGAATGTTTAAAAAAAAAAAAATGTTGAATAAAAATTAATTTGTCTGTTCCCCTAAAAATAAAAATTTCCCCCAAAATTTTTGCTAAGGGGACAAATTGTCCCCCAGTGATCAAATCCTAGCTCAAACCCTGGTGTAAGAGCTGATGCAGGAATGAGAAAGTTTATGAAGGTGTCTCAAAATTTGTCCAAGTTGTCATTTAGTTGTAATGGAGGATGTGAAAGAAGTTCTTTTTATGTGCAAGGTGTCATCATTTGTCACTTTTGTTATAGCTTGTTATCCTTCCTCACTTACTAGGTTGTTCATCTGATGCAGCAAAACTAAAACTATATGCCCAAGTCTTCAAACACCAGCTGGGTAAGTGAAAACAGTTCTCTATCCATCCTGTGTTGATAAGTGACCACTTGGCCTGTCAATGTGCAGTGGTAAACAAGATAAAATGAAAAGATAAACCTCTCTCATTGATACATGTAGGTTTAAGATGGTTTGTACATTTCTATAACTAGATTGCTCACAATTTCCATGTGTGACATTTGATGGGGGCCTCATCCTCATCAACTCTGGTGTGAGAGAAAGTGTGAGCTCATGATCCTATTGAATAGAATTTGAGATATTTAGAAGTTACCGGTATGAATTTTTTTATCTCCCTCTTCCCACCAGGACCATATCTGGCTTCACTAAATCTAGATAGACATCTTTTGGAGTTGGAGAAGGGAGACAAATCAGATGATAAAGGGCCTTCCAAGTTTGGATCAGATGTTGGCATGGATAGCACACCCAAACCTGGTAGTACCAGGTAATTGTTTATACTTTTTGTCTCATTTGTCATCCTAGTATTCTTTAGAATAGTTTCAGGATGAGCCAGTCCATCCAAGATGTAAATTGTCAAAATGTTTTGGTTAGATCTTTGTCAATTGATGTTTTAATTTATTATTTTAGTGCTGGCACTCCAAATTCAGAGCAGGCTCCATCAGCATTTGGAGAAGATGAAAGTGAACAGAACAGTGAGGACCCACCCACTGTCGTAGTTTATATTGTCAACCCCTTCAGTAACAGTTCCAGAGAGGAGAGTTTTCCTTCATATGTGGGGCTATTGCGATGCATTGCTGACATTTTGCCAGACCTGACAGAATCCAACAAAAAGAATGTTGTTTTTCAGGTATTGTCCACAGTATTGATTACTCTATCTCTATGTTCACACAGTATTGATTACTCTATCTCTATGTTCACACCATATTGTTTGTAGCCTGCTTAAGGGATTCAGTTGTTAAATAGGGTATACTTGAAGCTTTAAATTGAGTTGAAAAAGGAAGTGACAAAAAAATAGACAGGTTTTTTGATGGTGTGTGAAAGACTGCCAGGAAGACTTTTCAATAAAAAGGTGTTTCTGAGGTACTCGAGATTGGTGCACTCTTTGATTTTGGCAGTGATTTTTAGTGCCAAAAATAACGAAAAGCCTGAGTTGAGGAAATATGGTAATCAACAATTGGGTTGAGCTTGTCATGTTGAGCCCCAGATGGCAGCAAACAAGGCTGCAACATCCTCTGAAACTTTTGGGATATAGTTGCGCTTTGGTAAGAGCAGCAAAGAGGGCTAGTTGCTGGGAAAGATTCTTTGAAAATCCTCCAACAGGTTTTTGAAAGAGCTTGAATGAGCATGATGGAGATATTAACAAGTTGTTTTACAGCAGGAATCTGTATAATTTTCATTTGCTCACCAAATTCTTTGTTTTGTTCTATAATTATTCTTGTCTTGTGAATTGATAAATGTCATATTAACTTATAACTTATTAACTTTTTCCCCAGGTTGTCCCCATCCAACAGATTCTCCAGGTGGATACCTTGAATGGCAGTCGAGATGCAACATTGACATTTGTGACACAGCTTAAGTGCTTGGCCTTCTCTGTGTTCTCTAGATGCCGGAAGAGCCTGCAGTTGAATATAAATGCTAAATCTTTGACAGGATTTGGGCCTGCTGCAAGGCATGAGGCTCTATTACGTCAGAGAGAGGTAAGGTTCAGTTTTCACCCAGGGTAGTATTACAACATAGTACCCTTTCTTAGTAAGCAGTCAAATGAGGAGCAAGGATGGGTGGTGGTGTGAGCACTAACCTGTTGCTGTGACCTGGGTTCAATTCCCAAACCTGGTGTTGCACCTGGGTGGAGTTTGTTTGTTTGTTGATAGTTTTCCTCCTTGTTCAGAGGGTTTTCTCCAGGTTCCACAGTTTTCCTCCCTACAAGAAAACCATGTTTTTTGCAGCATGGCTGGTTTAGCTCTGAACAGCAACATCGGATAGTATGAGTTTGAAATCCTCACTGAACACTTTTATTCTCCACCCCAAGCTTGTGAGCAATGTGCATTATCTTTCTTTATTTGACAAGCAAGCTTATTGTTGTTGTTGTTTTTTTTATTTCTGACCTTATATCTAATCAAAATAATACATTGTGTCTTCAACCTTTTTTTTTTGTGTTACAGATGGAGAATGCAAAAGTGTATGCTGCACCGTATGTCCTCTGCCATCCCATACCTATGCCACCAAGTGACTCTGCAGATGAGAACGCAACGAGTTTGCAAGCACTTGCACAAAATGCCTCAGTGTTATACTGTGGTTACTGTCTCTCCCATGATGACAACTATCTCCTCGCTGTCTGTACTGATAGTGTTGGAGAACTCGTAGAATCATGTGTCATAACAGTTGAAAAATGTCTGAGACCTGATGGAAGGCCACGCAAGACTCCTGCACGTACAAAGGCACTTATCAAGTTGTGGGAATTCTGTCAAGGTGTTGTTGCAACATCTCTTGTACCATGGAGGTTGGTGGTCAGTAAGCTCGGAAGGATTGGACCTGAAGAACTGAAGGGTGAGAACACCCCTGAATCATATATTAAGGTCGCAAGAATAAAGGAAATTATCATCATCTAGAGAAGCCCTTTATTGTGAAACAAATTCTCCTTCTTAGCACCTGAGGAAACTTATAGAGAACAGTATGAGGAATATGCACACTGATGTTTGGGAGTAAAAGGTTACATAGTAATAGTTCATTGCATCAGACTAATGCACATGCTTTCTTTGTTTATGATTTAATATATTTGTTTGTACAACTCTGTGGTTTTAAAAAATTATGCCAATGCTAACAGCAAAGTATTAATCATAAGGGTGAACCTGCCCACGAATTGTGACTGGTTAGAACAGTTGACATCAGAGTATGTTGATGCCTGTGATACTGCATGAATCTTACAGAATTTTTTTTTGCTTTTTTTTTTTTTTTTGTGTGTGTGTGTGTGTGAATAGACTGGAAGGAAATACTGAGTAAGACGTCTGTTATGGCTGGGGACCAGAAGTTTAATGACACCTGCAAAGCTTGTTTCTCTCTGAAACAGAAAAATCGCCCTGCAATTCTTGGAACCAGTCTCACATCATTGGAACCTGAACCCTCAATCAGGCTTTACATGGCAAGAGGTAGGTGCTACACTAACTGCAACTTGAACCTACAGTGATTCTTAATATTTTCTGGATACATCACATCTAAAACTGTTTGAGAGTTCTATTTATCATATTACTCCCAAGATCTCAGAGTCAGTTCTCCATTGTGATCATCCAACAATACTTTGTTAGCTGGTGTGGAGAATGTGCTGCAGGATTTAAATCCCTTAGTTGATGATTTTCTCAATTTTTATCACCTTTGTGCTTTACAGCATATTGACTCACTGACCTGTAGTACCCAGATAAGATAAAGTTACGAGCCATTTGTTTCTCTTTCCTATCAGCCTTACCAAAAGTTAATGTCCTGTTTGAAGGCAATAGCAGTACACGTGTGTCGGTTGGTGCTGTTCCCAAACCAGATGTATCACGAACATACATTGCAGTAATGCCAGTTGCTTCTCTGAAATGCACCATGGGAAACCAATCCAGTGCTAAAATGCATGCTCTACCAGAAACTACCACGGAAACAGTTGTAACAGACACTGACATTTTGTTGGCTGGTGTTGATGATGACGAGAATGATCAGGATCCTTTACGTCACTTGTTTCCATTGTTGAACTCATCACCACCTAGTCTGTCACCAACTGGCTGTATTCTGCCGTCTCCCCTGGACACCTCACCAATTCAGGGGACATCCCCCTTGACACGTCCAGCAACGCTGACAGCATCCCCTGGAGTGTCTGTATCGTCTCCATTCCAACCGATTTCAAGGCTGTCACCATTTCAGCCCTTACACTCTACTCCATCCCCATCAACTGCAAATGCGGCTACAGTAGAAGTTCAGGACGATGGAGATGACAAACTATCTGTCCCTTATGCTCAGGGTTACATTATTTCAACTGTGCAAACTGGCAAGATGCCAGGAACATTTTGGGCAAGTTCATCACACTCTGAAACTTGTGATCCTGTTATTCTGAAGGTAATGTGATTTGACATGCTATTTTTAAAGCCTTTATTAGAGCCATAGCTGGGTTCGCAAAGTGGTTTTCTTTTACAAAAATGAAAATTCAGCTTTATCGGAGCACACATGCCTAACTAACCATACAATTGGGTGGGGTAAATCTGAAATTATCACCACTAATCAGCGTTACCACTATCACTTTTGTTTGGAAGTTTGGCATATTAACTCCACCCACACTCCTTTAAATTGTGATGATGGCGGCTTACTTCCTGACACCTATTTACACCTCGTCAGAAAAAAGGCAGCTAATTAGTGATTGTATAAAAGGACTTCTTGTTACAGCGTTTAGATCACCCCTGATGAGGGCACTAGACAGGAGTGTCAAATTGTTGGGTCTATGAATTGTAACTTCTTTGGTTACATTCATTAAATCTGTAAACCAGAATGGCATCAAACCATGTCTGAACTTTTTTTTCAAACTTTTGGAATGCTTGAATTTATAACGTCATGTAGCTCCTAAAATAAGTTTACCAGGTAAAATTTCTTGATGACGTTCTGTAATGCTGGCTCCCTTGTATGTTTTAGGCCTCTCTTCATATACATAACCCAGACTTGATGGAGGGAATGAATGGTTTTGTCACTGCATGGCATCCCCTTGCCACAAAGTCACACTGTCATGTGTTAAGGTTGGTACTGCTGTTTTACTGTTTTGACTAATATTGTATGATGCACTGAGTGTCACAAGTTATAAAGGATTGCATTGGTTTTGCTTCACCACACAATGTGAATAGTGTAGAAATTTCACATCACCCTCCAGTGCTACAAACTCAAGGATTTTCAAAGTTGTCCTTGGGACAAAAAATATGAAAATGGCTGCCAACAGTTAAACTTTTGTCAACATTATGGGGCAATGGTTTTTTGAATCTTGATTTGACATCTCAAGACTAAACACTTGCACTTAGGAGAAAGAGGCAACAGTAGAGAATATACTATGAAAATGTTTATCTCACTGTGAGTCTTAGCCTTAAACATTTAACAAATGAAAATACCATAGCTTACTACCTAACTATCAAGCACAGGTCACCAATTTGGCCAGTTTTGATGAATATTAGGCCACTGAAAATGTGCGACTTGCCATGACAACCAAATGGTTGCTGCATTGCTCTTTTAAGCAGTTGAATGCAACAATCACAACAATTGCCATTTAGCCATGGGCACCTTTAATTCGTTAACACTTTCAAAAATAATTTGCTTGTTTGTTTTTTTGCATTTTCAGGTCAATCCTACAGACCTATGATGCTCTGTCATGGTTAACTGTGGACCCTGTTAACCGAGACAGACGCTCATGTTTACCAGTTCATTTGTATATGCTATGCCAACTTCATGAGACACTCACTCTCCTATTGGAAAACCAGTCTTCTTAATTTGTTTAGAGCCAAGCTCTCTGTATCCACTGTGTATTAGGTTTATTTTATAAGATGGATTTAAATAACAGTGTAACATTTTCAAGTCTCTTTAAGAGTAGAAATCTTTGCTGTTGCTGTATTTTTTTCCCAGTGTTGGTCAGGAAAATATATTATTGTTTCTCAGTTTTCTATGAATGATAATTTTAATGGAATAATTTAATGAAACAGTGAATAACCCTCCGAAGGACTGGATTGTTTCATGATAATGACTGCATTTTATTTGTTCACTAAATATGTCGTCGCATTCAGTTTATAAAGAACTACTCGCCAGACATGAAGGTTTGAATTTATTAACAATGAAGTACAATAATTTCAATTTTTTGTAGATACTTTCATCAGCCAATGAGAGGAGGCATTTCTTAGCACTTGTTATATTCTATTCTCAGGAAGCTCCAATTTCCACAGTAAAGGTAGTTGTATATGAGATATTTAAGTGGCACTGTTGATCATCACAAGACATGTGAAAGTATGGGCGGCAATTGTTACCCCCCCTTCCCCTCCCCCCACACACACATACACACACAAACACACACACACACAAGAAGGAAAATAATTCCATTCAGGTAGAAAGAAACCTCTAAAATATAGTCAATTCAAAAATTATACAGAAGCAAGGACAGATGAGAATGTGACAACTTGGTTGACAATACGTTGGAGTTTGGAATCAATTTCTTAAATATTCTTGTCAGGCTTTCAATGACAAGTTATTAATTTAATACAAGTTATTAATTTGGTTTTATATTTATTTCATCCATAACAAGAATGCTTCCATTGTTCATTGCATTTTGTAGCAACAGTTTAGTAATCATAGTGCTTCTTAAATTTGTCATTTTTCTGATAATTAACCCATCAACTTCTAGACACGATTTACTTGTAAATTCTCCTCTCAGTATCTTCACATTACAAAGCAAAAGGTGATGAGAATTGACAAATGAATCAGTAACAGGAAGTTGCTCTGATATGACTTTTATTTCTGGCAACTAAGTTGTAGGGAAATGGAAATTGGTGTGAGAAAGTGTGCGTGTATTTATTTGAGTATGACTCTGCTAAAAGTAAGTCTGGTGTATTTCTGAGTGTTCATCAAGCACTTTTTTTTTCCTTTTGAATTCATAAATGTGCCTAATGGCAGCACAAGCTAGAAAAGGGTCCGAGTGTATTTTACATTGCAGGAATTTTATATCACTTGGACAGAGAATTTAATAAGAGGTGGTATTTGGTTGTAAATCATTAATCCAGAAATAAGAAAATGACTATGAACAGATATTTATCCTAAAATTAGTTTAAAATGAAGTCATGGTGAAGTCAAAATTAGTTTTGTAAAACAATTTTAGGTTAAATTCTCACTCTAGCACTATGATTTTCATATTATTTTGAATAGTACCTTTTTTGTTGTCACATTTGTAAGAAGTCTTCACCAACTCATTACAAGAAGAACGTTTTCCTTGAACCAGGAGCATTCTAGAATAGAATTGAAAGGTATTTTGAAATAGAAGACAGATGACTTGTCATGTTCATTTGGCCGCACAATAAAGTGAACCTGCAAGTGAGTTGGTGTCCCTGTTGACTTGACAGAATGATTGGTACTGGACTTGATCATGAATTACAAACAAATTTGAAAGACAGTTTACTACACCCAGGCATTTATTTAGCATTGTATTTATCCCTGCCCGTAGAGTGTGGTAGCTGTCGTTTATAAGCTATTATTAGTACAAAGTTTTGGACACATTTATCTTTGAAACACAATGAAAGACTTTCACATCTGGCGCACATCACTTTTATGTTAAGCTCTTATTTCTTATTTGTAAGTTTAATAATATTTTGGCCAATTATTTTTCTACCATGCTCCTCCTGATTTTTCTTATTGGCATGTTCTTAAATTTCTGGTAAACACTGTTGTATTTTAATGACTTAATGTTGCAGTAATTCTTAAGCTACTTAGAGCTAAATCAAGAAACCCTAACCCCCCATAATAATGTGGAAGTGAGATATATGATAGAAAACCTTTAGTAGTTCAGCGTTGGAAAGATTGCGATCATTTTTCAAAATTGATGGGGGAACCCAAGTGTAATAGTTATTGCCTTTAACAGTTTGAGAGAAGGTTGTCTGTATTGAAAATTTTTCTTACCTGACTTTGAGGATTCCTTTTCAAAATTTTCTGTAGTAGATTCCTAACAATGGGAGCAAATTGAACAGTTCGCCTTTTTATTTTTTGATGAAAATTGATGATCGAAACAAAATGCTTATTATTCTTCTACCAGAACTTTTAAGTTACTCTGGATTTGGTTAATTTGATCTTCCAACATATCTTGCCCAATCCAATTACAGATTTTTAGGAAGGTCAGGCAACTGCATTGTAAATTTTACAAAAGTGTAAGGATTTCCTCTGAGCCAGGTCAGAACTGAAGATAGGAAGATGTAGTTAGCTACTCCAACGGCTAAACTTTTTGACTTTTTCTCCATATTGTATTTTCTCTTAACAAATTAACATTGCACACTGATGGAACAATAAGAATATCAAATTTTAGAAGGCAGATGAGGTAAATTAATTGGAAGCATGGGGAGTTTTCAAAAAAATTGTCTTTTCCTTAAATGCATCGATGGACTAATGCATGACAAATTCTGTTTAAGTAGTCATGTTTTGGGTAAAACAAGGTCAGTGTTTCAGTTATAACTCCTTTGTCATGCTCAATATTATTAAACCCTCTTATTGCCAAGATTTAAATTTCAATTCTCCACACTTTCTCAAAAATTTATTTGTTTTTTCATCACCTTTCTGCTTGAATTCCATTGATACTCTAGGGAGAAATTCATTTGTGGTCACTCCTTGGAGTGGAAGGGTCTTAGAAGCAATGCAGGATGGCCAACTAAAATATTTAAGGAGTTGTGTTCACTATGCATCAAAAATTGAATTGGGTGAAATTTGACTGAAGTCATGACAGGTAGACAAGTTTGAGTATTACACTTCATGGCTCTTAATTAAAATTAATTTAAAAAAAACACCACTTGATCTTATATAGACTTGTACCAATTAAAAACAGAGAGATGCACAGCTATGGTATTCTCTTCTGCAGTGATAGGTTTTGTGAAACAAACCACTAATTTTGAATGAAACAGAAGCAATACTTCATTGTTGTCACTGTAGAGTAAAAGTACGGCAAATTTTTGTAGATAGGGAATGTAGATAATAATAAGTAATGTTATTATCATTATCAAGATGCTATTTGTGAACAGACCAGAACTCTAATGTTATTGCCTCTGTCGCATCTGCTCATAACATATGAAACCAACATAGTCTGTCAGACCATGTAAATAATTTATTAGACAGACTAACAATGCATATTTTCTGATAATTTCTGGTAGATTGGTAGACTTCGCTATATTTTTTATTTTCAGACCCTATTTCATAAGCATTTAATAGACATTTTTATTGTAATAAATACATTAAACATTATATTGTAAGACCCAGTCATAGAAAATAAAATGATATTTACATACGAAGTCAACTATGTTGTCTCTCTTTTCTTTTTTAAACATTTGCCAATGAAATGGCAGTTTCTCAATTTATTCTCAGGATACAAACTTTTCTTCACTCTATCTTTAATTCATATTAATGGAAATGACTTGGTTGTTTTATAATAATAATAATAATAATAATAATAATAATGACTTTATTGGATAACACAATTACTGGTAGAACCAGTAGTTCTCATTGTGGTCCACTAAAACTTCAAATTCAAATAGCAAAAATACGAAGTAAAAATACAGTTAAAAATTAAAAATTAAAAATTAGAATTAAAAATTAAAAATTTCTGCTTATAGTAAAATTATCAACTCTGGAGTTCCGATCTAAATATTTCTTATATAGTTGATTTTCAAATTTCTGCGATCATTTCCAAACCCAGCAAATTTTAGGTCAAAGATCACAAGGGCATCAAAAAATATATATGACATATACATTTACCTCACCCAAATCTTAACACACATAACTATACCTTCACCCAAAAAACAAAAACAAAAAAACCTTGATCTTGTACCTTCTCTGTTTTGTCATATGAAAGATATCAAAATTAAGACTTCGTTATGACTACACAAATACTCTCTGCTCAACAATTAGACAGAACTCCCCTTTTTTTTCTAAGCAATACAGAAAATTTGCTTTCCCAAGGCAGACTCTCTTCAGAAGCCCCTTGAAGAATTTGACAATGGAGAATTGATTAAATTACTTGGTAATGACTACTTACACTCTACCATCAGTATGTGTATTCTCTATACTGTTCCCTTTACATTTTCTATGGTGCAGGCAGGGAGAATTTGTTTCACAATCAAGAGAGTCTTAAGTTGGTGATCATTTCCTTTATTCTCATGTCCTTAACATGTGAGCTAAGAGAGATGTTGTAAGGAGAAATTAGATGCTGATTTCTCACAAGGGTTAAGGGGTTGGTGGGTTCTTAAAAAGTGGAGACAAATGTTGACAAGTGCAAAATTGTAATTCAATTAACTCCCTCCCTAGTATGTCATCTCATTTTCCAGACCACTTGATTTACATCTTTTGGCTAACAAAGTAGTTCACCAACAATAACAACTTCACATGTCATTTTCACTGTCATCTGTTTCACTGCATCTAGTAACAATGGCACCAGAATTTTGGCAGTTATTGTTAATTTATTATCATTACTTATAAAGTTCTATTATCATCAAATTTTAATTGTCATCTTTTTCAGATCTCTATGATAACTGCTAAAGTATGAATCTGCAAATGCAGGGTCATTTCTTTTTTGTTCATCTTCCTGCCTGAAAGAACAATGTCCACAAACTTGAGGAGCTTTTTCTTTTGAGGAGCTTTTGAGGATTTCTTTCTTGAGGAACTAATTTTTTTCTTCTCATTAAAAATTATAAACCAACCTAGAGAACTAGCACTTAAGGTTCACTTGCATAAGCACACACTGGTGGAGAAAAAAGATAATTGCAGATAAATGTGCTCCTGCACACTACCAAAGTTACACCCCACCTATTGCTTGAAATCTCAGAATGTACTTATCAATAAAAACAGGATTAATAAAATGAGCAGGCAAAATAACCATGATAGAGTTGCATTCTTATCTTTCCCTTCCTTTGGGCCTGTTTTCCTGGTCCTCAGTGGGCATAGCTTGCTCTCTTGCACCCCCATTATGATGTCCCTGGCTCCTGGCCAGGCTCCAGGACCAACTAGTCTGTACTGAGCTGGTATACATGGGCCAAAAAAGCACCTGAAGGCAAGAACTGGATCTGTCATGAGGAGGTGCCATAGATTTGGTTTTGCTCCAATTAGAGATGACATTTCATCACAATACCTGATAAAGTTGACCTGTGATTTGGCATAAAGTAATAATTAGAACTCAACTTTCAATTGATTTTAAAAAATTGCCTGAGACTACTTCCAGTCCCTTTGTTTCAACCTTTTAGCAAAGACAGAACTCCCACATCCTTTATCTCACTCCTTGCCTCTAACTTCCTACATCCACTGACACCCAATTCCACCTCTTCACTGGGTTACATCATGCCAAAATTCCCACTGATCAGTCATTTGGCATAACAAATCCCATTTTTGAGAGATGGCTACATACCAATGGTTTCAAAAATTCAACAGATTGTGATTTTACTGTGAAATAAAATTTATTAGTACATACTAAAACACTGGATAGCGTTGAAGGCCCTTTCTGATTGGCTACTCAAACTCTGAGTATCCTTTGCTGTTCACCTCCAAGCAACCCACACAGGATTTGTGTCCAAAAATATTGCAATTGTTGCAGGTAGAAATGCATTAAAATCATCTTTTTGTTCTATGTTATCTCACCATTTTAGTAGACTAGTACCGGTACATACTAAAACAAGTATTAAGCCCATAAGTTTTGGTGGCTACCAATCATATTTATCCACCTAGCCTCCTCTACTTTGGTATATAGTTTTTAAGTATTCAGAGATGTCCATGATCATAATTTAAAGAAAGGACTGTATGAGACATGGCAAACCTCTCTCAACTTCATCTAAATATTATTACAAGGCAAGTAATCGAGTCAAATTTTAGTTAAGAATGTAACACAACACTGTACTTAATGCAATATCTAGGTCTTAGTGTGCTAGGCATTCAAACACAGTTTTTACCAATAATGTTACACCTAAGTGGGTATTTCTGGAAAGGAGGTGCTCATTTCTTACCAAATGAAAAGCTCGACAACACTCTATCGTGGAGGCCTCTAACAATTGTTGTCTCCTTTCAATTTCTTCCACCATAGTTTGACAATCAGGAAGTTTACTTTTACCAGCAAAAACACTTACTGCCCAACGGGATTGCATCTCAGCTATGGGTGGGACAGGCCCATTTACACGTACTGCTCCAATGATGGCAATAGTACCTGGATTACAAAATGGTGGGAATACATATCGGTACATGGGAATGTACCTGTCTTTTGGGCAAAGAAGTGAGTCAGAGAGAAATGGAAAATGAAACTTATATCCAGTGGCCAGAATGATCACATCGATGTCTTCAACTTTTGAGCCATCTGTGAATACTACATTTTTCCCTTTTATCTTTGCAATTTCTGCTTTGACTTGAATTGAGCCAGCGATTATGCAATGTGGTAGTTCGTCATTTACTAATGGGGTTCTTTTGTCTGGTGGATGAGCTGTTTCTAAGCCAAAATTGACTAAATTAAAACCTTTCTTGAGTTTGTGGTGAAACACCTGTGCACGGATGGATGATGGAATTGAATCTACCAATCTTGTCAGGAACTTGGTATCTCCAGGACCATCCCCACCTAGCAAACGAGAAACAACCCAACCACCACTTCGCGTGCTCAGATATACCTGTTGTGTATGATGACTTAATTCACAGGCAATATCTCCTGAAAGCAAGAGGAGAAATGACAGATTAAGAGCTGTCTTGCAATAAATCAGAATTTGATTTCTTCATCCATCAGTCTCATTAGTCAAGGATGTCAGTCTAACAGGTCAGTTGGCCAATTGTGAGAGAATCAGTCAAAACAAGCAGGAGACGGCAGGAGTACTTCCTACATTGGAGTTTAAGGGGTACCAGAGATAACATAATTAAACAGGAGAAGAATGAAGGGGTCTGATCTTAACAAATTCAGGTATGGAAATCAGTACGGAATTAACATATGGTACTTTTAGAGATCTAATGGTTCACCCTCTTTGCCTTGGACTGCACCTGTCTGAATGTTTAGCAAATCATCCATCATGACCTCAAGCGATCTACATGCCACGCAGGTAGACAGTCAGTCATTTTATGACAAATACTGACTCTTAAAAGCACTATTTACCTGCCGAATTTCCCAAGCCAACTACTATCACACGTTTCCCTTCAAAGTTTTTCCAAGTTCTGTATTCCTTGCTGTGGATGACGTCACCACAAAATCCATCCAACCCTGGAATGTCAGTGATACGAGGTTCACTATTGATTCCAGAACAAACCATCACAAAATCGAACTCCTCGACCTGATCACAGTTCTGCTTCAAATCCTGATAGCGAACTCTCCAGCGAGCATTTTGATCCGCTTTGGAATCTGACGTTGGCTCTACAGAGAGAACATCAGCCTCAAAACGAATCCTCTCTTCCAACTCAAACTCTCTTGCGTACATTTGAAAGTATTCGAGGTAATTCTGTTGAGGAAGGTAATTGGGCCATTCTTTAGGCATAGGAAAGTCGCTGTAACAGCTAACGTGCTTACTAGTATTAGTCACAGTGGAGTAGGCCACACAGCTTCTTCTATGTTTTTCTTCAGCCAAGTCTGTGTATTTCCAAGCACCTCCCAGCCAAGGATCAGTTTCGAACGCAGTCGGTTCAAGACCGACTTCTAAACAACTCTTGATCGCGGCTAAGCCAGCCGGACCGGCACCAATAACGGCAACTGTCTTTGTCATACTTCTATGATAATACTTGAGAAAATGGATAAAATTAAATCAATAAATGGTCCAGATTCCGTAGGGCAATACAGGTAATATTCACAGCGCTCAAGATTGCGTGACTTTCTTAGAATTCGAGAAAGACTGGAGGCTAGCATCCAGACTGACCTTTCCTCCTCGACTCCGATCAGCTATGTTTCTTGTGTTTATGGAAATTCGTACAGTTGTAAACAACAGCTAAGAAACCTCCTAAAATGCAAAGAATTACGTCTCTGAGTTTGAGAAAGTATGGAAAGTGGGAAACCTAGCTTTAGTCGCAGTAGGGGAAGTAGAAACGTGGACAGCGAACAAGCGACTACAGAAGTTAATGGCGGCCGCGACAGAAACAGAGTGAGGAACTTTACTTTTTTTAAGCTTGGTAAGGACATTGACTATAGCATGTCTCTGAAGTAGGAAAGTTGCCTTTTGTTTCGTGCTTTTTTAGGACGATGATGAACTTTCTGTACAAGGAAGTGAAAATGGTGGGCATCGTACACCCATTTTTGATGTTCCCGGGACTGCATCAACTAGATGGAGCTCACTATCCAGGTATACTTTTAACAGAGTTATATAGAAGTTTCTTTTTTAATCTCTCAATCGGCTTGGAGGTGCTCTAGCTAGCCTTAAGATGAGAGTGATATGTTCTACATGCACAGTGTAGGGCTAAAACTACAGAGTATTAACCCTTTAACTCCCAGAAGTGATTAACATAAAACTTCTCCCTACAATATCCATACATTCTTTAGCAAACAGGTAATGAGAATATTCAAACTTATCAGGTAGAAGCTGCTATCTTGATCAAGCACTAAGTTCTCATAACTAATTTACAAGGAAATGTCGCAGTAGCAGTGGGAGAATTAACAATTAGATCTTGGGAGTTAAAGGGTTAAGGTCACAATTATGTACAGGGCTCCAACCTTTGCTTTTTCCAAAGATACTATTTGGTAACCTTAAGCCTTGAAAAGGTCCCTAAAAGAAAAAAGAAAAAATAGCTGGGTGGAGAAGGTTTATGGAAGATCTCAAGACTCACAAGACTTAATACTTGAATGACCATAGCAAGAGAGGCATATTTCTATTGACAAAAACGATGGAGAATTATCAGTATTTGATGCATGTTTATTTCAATTTAACTTTGGACCATCAACAGGAAGTAAAATTTTAACTTGCTACCTGACCCCTGCACTCAGGTTGCTTTACCCTCATGAACTATCTTGTGATAGAAATCTGAAAGTTATAATTTAATTTTAATTAATGAGTGTTAAGTAATACAATCAGAATTCAATGCAGAATCCAGTTAAATCTAATTGTTTCAAGGGATTGTACTACCTGCTTAACCCTTTAAACCTTAACATGATCAGAATGCATGTTCTCCTTACTCTTCTCTTAAGATTTCTTAAATTGCTGACAAGGAGAATTTTTTTTAAGAAATCAAGTGCTTCTTTCATTGGTGATCATTTCCTTTATTCTTGTACCTTAATTTGTGATTCAGGGGTGATATTTTAATGAGAATTTACATTCTTGTCACTCTCTGAGGTCAAAGGGTAGTTTGTTAGTTCAGCTCAATATCAGTATCTGGGCAACTGCCCACCTACCCCTCCCCTAACCCAACATTAACCCTAACTTGTTATCAATTGACTGTTGTTGAGTTAGGGGAGGGGTAGGTAGGCAGTTGCCCAGATACTGATATTGACCCATTAGTTCCTTCTAATATGATAGGGATTTGAGTTTAATTTGGCTGCTTGTGCTTTCAACACCAAGCTGAGCAAAGAAACCTACAAAATAGACCAGCCAGTCTCCAATATGTAATGTTTGTTGCTTTCTGAGATCACAATAATCAAAATAATTATTTGGACTCCAACTATTTTAGGAGTTCTTTAACTCTGTCCAGTACAACCACCAGTGGAAAAGGAAGAGATGTCATAATAAATGAGTACTACGATGAAACAGGTGTTGTAGCAGTCCTAGAATCCTGGATAAAACAGCTTATAAACAGGAAGGAATTACCGTACAACCCTTATCCAGAGTTGGTTTGGCAGGCAAGACAATGTGCAGAGAGGTACATGAACTTATATCATTTCTATTGTTAAATTTCTCTTAGTTTTAACTCCTAAGATCCAAATGCCTTAACCTCCTGCTCATAACATCAAATTTCCCTTTTACCTACTCCTGAGAATTTAGAACCATGTTTAGTTGATAACATTTTCCATTTCTTTCATCTGTGAAAGAGGATATTTTGAGGAACAGCCAAAAAAGTGGACTATGGAACCTTTGATACAGAACTTTCACCAGCTTCAGTCAAATCCCCTCCTTGTAGAAAAATTATCATAATGTATAAACTGAGAAAAACATACATTGGTATACCCATGCATTGATTTTTGGTTGTTATCTCTTTACAATGTGTTTGCTTGATTTAGAACTAAGAGATTGGAGATTATTTAGTACAGATTGTTTCATAAAGTGTTACTGGCTTTTTTGAAATATTTTATTTTTCCCTTTTCTCATCTCTTTCCCTCACTTATCCACTGTAACATTTTGCTAAAAATGTTTCAAATTTCTATCAATTTCACATAGGTTTCAGTTGTTTGGAGAAGATAGCACTTCAGTTCTTGAGAAGATAGGTATAAATTCCAAAATAAAGTACTTACCTCATTTAGTAATTCTTTAATATGTTATATTTCTTGTTTTTAATTTTGATAAAACATGATTGTCAGACAGTTAAGTATCTTAATGTATTTGCCACAGCCCTGTAAAATTAAAGTAAAGCCTTTATACGGGCCCAAGTGGCCCATGGGTCCAGTGCTTAACTCCAGTTTTCTTAGCATGAAGCGGCTAGGAGTATTGCTACTCCCCCCTGGATGGGATGCTAGTCCATCGCAGGGTTACCCCAGCATATTTGCTGGTACCCATTTGTACACCTGGGTGAAGAGAAGCACTGTGAGAGTAAAGTGTCTTACCTAAGAACATGACACAATGACCCTGGCCAGGGCTTGAACCAGGACCACCCTGTACCTACCAGCCCTGTACCTACCTTAAATGGAAAAAAGTACAAAAAATACCCTTATATGACTGGACAAAAACCCCCATGATGTGATGTGAGCTAAAAGAAGTAGAGAAGTAGAAAGAGAAGGAGTGGTAGTTGTTTGATAAAATGCTGATGCCTGGGTTAGGCTAGACCAGAAAGGAAACTGAAACTTTCGGCTTTTGGTTGATCATGAAATACAGAAGTGGCTGGGCTTGATCCCTGTGTCATGACCCTAAGTCAAATATTTGCTGTATGGCCCTCCTGCTCAAGGGATAAGTTGGTAAATCTTCTCATTGAAGAGAACTAAGAAAAGAGGCCTGATTGTAAATGTATTATGACTGATTTAGTTCATTCATTATCCAAATAATACCTCTAGGAAGTCAAGTATTCACAATAGGAGGTTACATTTCTCGCACCCAAGACAGTCCAGCTCATTGGGGTCTATCAGCTTTATTGCATGTTGTAAACACAGAGTTTCTTAGTCAGTTTGGCTATCTTTTATCAAGTATGAACTCTGATGTTTCTACAGAGGACTCTGAAGATTACTTGGTGAGTTTGAATCATGTTAACTTGTTGCTTGGACTAGATGAAAGGTGGGCAGCAGGGGTGTCTAAGGTCTTCTAAAGTCAAGCCAGCCCCCAAATAAAATACTGTCCCATAGCTAGGAAATCCTTGCAACCCAACCATTTGCCCCCATTCCAGAAACCTGGCAATGGTGATTAAAACAGGGGATGTTGCTGCAATAATCAAATTGAGCCTGCATTTGAGGGGCTGACCACTGGCCACATGAGCCTTTTAAGCTGATGGTGGTTATTAATTAACTAAATGAAATGCTGTGTTTACTTTTAACATTCTATTTGTAGATGAATGAGAATGATGCATTCTGAGTTGGTCATTCAGTTAGAGTACTCTAGGAATGGAGGGAGGGATTAGCTTGATTGCAATGTTGTAATATTTTATGTTTTGAACGAGAATTCTCATGTTTTATCCAGTTTTTCTGATAATAATGCCCTCTTAAATGCAAATTATTTAAAAAGTATATTTTTACCAGTTTATTGTACAGAAACCCTTTCCAGTTCTGATTGGTCCTTGTGTGTTTGGTGGAAGCCTTTACCCTGTAAACAGCACAGAGAGCATTGAAATTAGGATGGAATATGCCATCAGTGGCCCAGATATAGATCAGGTACATTAACTCTCTTTAGGTTTGTGGCAAGTGTCTGTCTATAGCTGTAGTAAAGCAAAAGAGCAACATGTGATATTGATTTTTAATTTTATACCAGTGTGTAAGAAGAACAAACTAGCCAATAGGTTTGTTCAAAAAACATTTTTAATGAACAACAGACTTCTATAAAATTTATATGTGGTCTCTCTTGAGGACAGCATACTTTGCTTTGGAAAAGTTGGTTGTTTAGAGCTAAGATCAATAAAACTACCCCAAACCTTTGAAAATTAAGAGATTATTTTAACTATGGGTAAGACAAGTCTGAGAGTGAAGGTTAAAGAAGGGAAAATCACAGAACTAATATTTTTGGTTTTAGAGACAAAAATTTTCTTTTTTGACAAAACTTAAGGTTATTGCACTTTCAGAAATAATTTGCATACTCAGTCAGTATCAACTTGTAAGAACTTTCCTAAATAATCCATTCGATCTCATTTGTTAATAGCCTGTTGCATGAAATATACAGCCTACTCTGGGTTTAATTTTTGTGATGTTGGTTGTAGGCTTCAGAAATATTTGCCAAAGCAGTGTTAACGGATCTCCAGAAGATGAGTGAAGCTGATCCACACATTTTGCTGGGTGAGTATAATTTTTTCAATTCTATTTTTTACTTTCCTGTTGTGATATAATTTACACTCAGTCTGAAAGATTAGTACTGACAATAAAAAAACAGCCAAAACTGTTTGTTACTTTACCTTTGATCCATAGAGACTAGTTGGAAATTAAATTGTTGAGGTGCAATTTTGTCTCCTCAACTGCTGGGAGATGAATAGTACTTGCTAATCAAATTTCCAATCGGCCAATCTGTGCATACAAAAAGGGCTATTAACCTGTGTGATATACAGTATACTAATTTCAACTGTTGAAAATAGATTGACACTGTTTTTAAGCTTCAACTTTACCCAGTGGCCTCAATCTTCAACCTCAAAATAATCATTCCCTGAATTGAAATTCACTCAAACTAAAGGCACATTTGGGTATTAATTAATTTTGGTGGTTATCCTACATGGTTTTTCACTGATTTTTCTCAAAATTTAGGTTTCACCATTCCAGTGGAAGATGCAAGAAATAGAGGGAAATGGATTGATGAATTTTGGACTTATCAAAATGTTGATGAAATAAAGGTGTATAACTATGATTGTTTTTTTCTAAATATATTATAAGTTCACCTATTTTTTTTAGTTTTTTGGCATCTTCTCCTCCTTGGAAGAAAACTTTATCAATTATTTTGTACATTATTAGGATCAGTTTTTGATGCTTGTCAAGTCTGCTGCCTCTGCTCAGAAAGTTGCTGAAGCTCAGGTACAGTTTTTTATTGTGTTAGATTAGCTCCATGACAAACACTTCCTAGCATTTTTAACCTTCAAACATGAACTGCCAATCTTAAACCATCTCCCAAGAGCTATGTTACACAATATCTTGACATTTGCTGTTCTCAGTAACTCAGATAAAAACACACTAGCGAATATCACTGACAAGTCTTGTGAGAATTACTCTCAATATCAGACTACTTGATCAAAAATTGATTCTTGTTCTGTACATTCATAGAATTGGTTTTAATTACAGTGCATGTTCAGGATGCAACCTGAGAGACGAGTTTACAGAAGAGGATGTAAACAGTACAACTTGAATTTCATAAAGACAGAAGGAGAGAGGTAATCAATCAATTTGCAAAAAAAGAGTTGTTGGCTCTTTGCAGTTATTCTGGACTGGGTTCCTGACAAGAGGATGTATTGATTTTCGAAAGTGACCCCAAGTACTAGAGCAGTTTGAATTGAGTGTCAGATGAATCTAGTTGTGGAAGTGCTTTATACAATCTAAGCCTGTTAGCATTTCAATGACTTGTCATGATCAGCCAACTAAAACTACTTTGTACATGACTTTTGCATTTTGACATCGCTATTCAACTGCATTGTCCTGATTTCATAAACAGTTGATATTGTTTTGGGAGGAAGGAGGGAGGGGATTAACTGGCCTCATTTGAAGTGCAGTGAAGAAACTAGAACGAGGATAGAGGATACAGTTTGATTTACCCATTAAGCTTTATAATGGCCAATAAGTCCTTAAGACAGCAACTACACACTTCTCTCTACATGTCGGATACATACCTCATAGATGAAAAAGAGATAACCCCCCCAACAGCAAAGGACAACTAAACAAACTTTTTAAGAAGGAGAGGAGAGGGGGAAATTGATTAGGCTGCAAAGGATATGTTCTCTTAGCTACACACACTTTTGCAGAAGTGCCCCAAGACTTTTGTCTGAGGTAGAAACCATTAATTATTAATGGTGGGAAGTATTTTGGAGTGATAATACAATTTTTTTTGTTTGAAGGTCAAAGGCAATGTCTGTACATCCTTACCAGAGTGCATATCAAGGAGTCTTTTCTACTCGTTCCCATATTAAAGAGTACTTGTCTTGGTTTGCCGGTTGGGAAGAACCTCAGCAACAAAGTTTGGTTACACCGGCGTCTTTAGCGAGTAAGTACTTTATCTAATCATTGCTTCATGTTAGCGCTACAAGCTGCTAGTGTTTTGGATACCATGGCTAGAAAGAAGACAATTTGGTGACTTAATTAATTTGCAAAAAAAGCCACCAATTCTGCCACCTGAGTTTAGGGGTCATGTACGAAGCAAACACTCATTTTTGAGAAAGATTTTTTTCGTAACGCTGCTCTAGCACAGGGGTGACTTGAGAAAATCAATATTTCCTCTTAACTGCAATGTATACGCCCAGCCTCAACCAAGTCCCACGCTCGTGACGAGACGAAAAACGTCTTTCTCTACTTCTTCACCGAGCTCAAAATCTACCATCTTTCCTATTCTATTTAGTAATATCTTTATTTACTCAATGTTACCGACTTAGAGTGATAGTTGACATGTCCAAAGGAGAACTGTATGGATTGTGAACTGTGATGGAGGAAGAAAGTTATCGTACTTATTCAGTATTGCAAAAAAACAAATTTAACTTTTCACACCCTAATAGCAGTATGCATATTCCCCATATCGTTCTCCGTACCTTTCCTGATACTGACAAGGATAATTGGATAGATGATCCAGATCTTATTTCACTAGTGATCATATACTTTATTCTTACCGCCTTAATGTTTGATACAGTGGAGGGTAACCGGTCAAGTCGCCCGAGAGTCATCTCGCCCGAAGTCATGTCGCTCGAAACCTGAGTCATGTTGCCCGAAATTTTAGTAATGTCGCCTGAAAAGAAAAAATCAAGTCGCCCGAAGAGACAAATATTAAAAAGATCAGAATTTCAGACTGTAAATAGGCAATAAAGTTGAGAAATTTTCATCACTAAAGCGCTCTTTGTTTCCAACGACACCATGAAGATTCTAAACGCGTTTTTCGTCCCTAACAATAAAGGAAAACGTTGTTCATTTCCAAAAACAGAACGAAACGTTGTTCGTTTGGTATGTAATCATTTAGGAAAAAATTTCGGGCAACATGACTCAGGTTTCGGGCGAGATGACTCTCGGGCGACTTGACTGTAAGCCTAGTGGAGGCACTGTAAAGAGAAATTCGATGCTAGTCACTCTAGGGGCCACAGTGTTGGTTAGTGCTGTTAAAAAGTTTGGGCCTGTCTAGACTACAATTTCTAAGTTGTTTGTATGTATATCTGTTGTCAAGGAATTCGGAGTCATGAGACAGGAAGGTCAAGAAGAAATGGGTCGAGAAACACCTCCAATCTTCAGCCTCGATCCAGTGCTGTTACTAGGGTAGCAAGTCAGGCTGCATCACTCGTCTCAAGTGAAGGAGATGTCGGTCAGCCAGCTACCGGACCCTATGGTGATGAACCAGTAGGAGCTATTAAGTAAGAGAAATTACTTTCAACTCAAAGTTTATCATAGAGGAAAAATTATTCGTGAAGTTCTCACTAAATTGTGATTTCATATTTGATCAAAAACGATCTAAAGATGCGCAAGGTGCTAACATTAAAAGCTGATCAACTAAAATCTTAATATGTGCGAGATAAAATCTTAATATGTACGTAACAATCTGATCAACTTCAATGTAAAGATGCGCGAGATACTTACGTAACAATCTGATCAACTACAATCTTAAAATGCGCGAGATACTAACGTAACAATCTGATCAACTACAATCTTAAAATGCGCGAGATACTAACGTAACAATCTGATCAACTACAATCTTAAAATGCGAGAGATACTAACGTAACAATCTGATCAACTAAAATCTTAAAATGCGCGAGATACTAACGTAACAATCTGATCAACTACAATCTTAAAATGCGCGAGATACTAACGTAACAATCTGATCAACTACAATCTTAAAATGCGCGAGATACTAACGTAACAATCTGATCAACTACAATCTTCAAATGCGCGAGATACTAACGTAACAATCTGATCAACTACAATCTTCAAATGCGCGAGATACTAACGTAACAATCTGATCAACTACAATCTTAAAATGCGAGAGATACTAACGTAACAATCTGATCAACTACAATCTTAAAATGCGCGAGATACTAACGTAACAATCTGATCAACTACAATCTTAAAATGCGCGAGATACTAACGTAACAATTTGATCAACTACAATCTTAAAATGCGCGAGATACTAACGTAACAATTTGATCAACTTTAATGTAAAGAAGCGAAAGATAGTTACGTAACAATCCGATCAACTACAATCTATAGATGCGTGAGATACTCGCGCAACAATCTGATCAATTATAATGAGAAGATACACGAGATACTAAAGGCGGCGAAATACGAGTTACAAAAACCTTCAACTTGTCGCGCAACATTGTTTCGTTGCAATTTTTGGTCGATGTTTCCCGTTTTTCACCATGCATGATCAACTTGTCGCGCAACAAAAACATTTGTTACAGATTGAAGAAATTTGTAGTAGAGCGCGGGTCTACTTTGAGAAACAAATTTTGGCTTTGTCGCTCGTTTTTCATCAAACTCACAACTTGTCACGCAACAAATTTGCTCATGTTGCGCGACAAGTTGAGGGTTTTTGTATCTCGTATTTCCCCGCCTTAACGTAACAATCTGATAAAGTAAACGGTTTGAGCCCGGGGGTACTATTTGATGGTGTAGTTTGATCGTCCGGGTGGGTGTAGTCCTGAGAAGGACTGCTGTCTATAGTGGTGACTGACATTTCGAAAACCTGAGCGGAAGTTTAAAGAGGCGTAAGATACTAATTTAACGATCTGATCGACTATAATCAAAAGATGTTTAAGATACTACCGTAACAAACCCATTAACAATCATTTAAAGGGGCGCGTTTATTAACTCAGGAATACATTTTGAAACCAAGGTTTCTCTTGTTTTGACCCCATACACTGTGGTTGTCATACATTAACAATACGGTAAACAGTTTGAACCTGAGAACATTGGATCATTTTGTCGGATCATCCAGGTAAGTAAGCAGATTGTTGTCAGTAGTAGTGAATGACCTTTTAACATCCTTAGCAGAAGTCGCCATCAGATTCGAGCGAAGGATGTTCAACGGTCAATCATTACTACTAACAGCAATGCTTTCAGGACTACTCTTGCCTGGTTGATCAGACTACACGATGGAAGACATTAACAATCTAATCGATTGCTTTGCAGAACTTACCTTAATAACAAAATATTTGAGCTTGGAGACCGAACTGATTTCTTTAGAATGCTGCACTTCGTTATTCTCGAGATCCTTCTTAACAGGTTCGTATTTCTCGACCGTGCATGTTTCTTTGTACCAATGCTGTGCCATTGCTGTACCAATGTGTTAACTCTTTGGATTTTAGTTGTGACTCTCCCTTTATCTGTTATGTAAATTGGTGTAGAAAATTGGGGTGAAATATTACAACAAGACTGTGTAGAAGATGCACTGTTTTCTTTTTACCCTCATCACCGGTGCACTGAATAATGTATTAGCCCCTAAGGGTGACTAACATCTTATTCCTCCTCACAATATCACCCCTGAATCAAACATGGAGTGTAGAATGAAGGAAATAATCATCCTTTAAGGAAACTCTTCACCGTTATCTTACATTATTTTTATCATTATCATTACTGTTGTTATTATTTTCATTACTAAGACGATGATAATTATTATTCTCACAATTGTCTAAGGGAGGATGGTGAGAGCCAGGATTGTCTAGTGGAGGCCTACAGAATTCTGAGGAGCACAGCTTACCAACTTCATCTTGTGATGCAGCAAAACCAAGTGCTTCAAGATCTTGTGACCTTCTTTATTTCATGTGGGGTTAGTGGAGGTTAATGTGTTTGTAGACTTGATCTTAACAATTTCGTTTCATTTAAGAAAGATTAAAATAAATTAATAAACACGATTGGCTTTCTAGCAGTATGCAGGATGCTTGAAACAGATTATCTAAGTAATCATTACTTTATCTTAAGCTCATTGTTAGAGCATTACCCCATAACATTTAATGATGTTAGATATTATTCCTTGTTGAGGACTCATTTTCCCCCTTGTCTTGTGCTTGTGACAAAATGAATTACATCTTTCATATTGGATGAGTGACCTCCAATTTAACATCTTGGATAATTTATTTATGCTGACAATGCACTTGACATTGCTGATTTAAAGAGTATGCTAAACACTTATTGGATAAGTATCAAGCATATGATCCAGCTTACCAGTGAGTTTCTCTGTAGCTAAGAAGGGAAAACAAAACAAATGATATCTTTCTTCAAATATTTTTTTTCTTATAAGAACACTTCCTTTATCTCTTTTAGATGGGTGCATCAGACATTTTACAGACACATCTCATGGGCTACAGACATTCTTTGAAGGACTTCTTCTGCAATTCCCTGTGAGAACAAGATTTCGTTTTCATATTGATTTGTGTTTTTATTTGCAAATTCAGTCTTTTCCATGACTGAAATTGACAGAGCCCCTTTAACGGGATATGAGACCATCTTGGTAGCGCAATAGTGTGCATGGTTAGAGTGCTGGACCATGACGCCTTAAACTCCCAAGATTAGGTCGGTATTTCTCCCAAACGACCATTATATCAAGTGAAAATCCTTTAGCTGCAATAGAAGGTCGTCTGTTCTTATAATTCGTATGCCAGATAATATATTGGAATCACGAGGAGAAGTTACATATTTGTCAGTTTTGGGAGAGGGTGGAGGGGTTGAGAGCACCTTGTACTGCTTGTAATGTGAAATGTTGTCTCACTGTAGGAAGGAGAAGAGCAAGGATTTTCTGTATTGTGGTAATAAACTGGTTAACATGCTGGATGCCATGACAGTTATAAATCCTCATTTGGAGGGGAAGACGAGCACTGGTAGCTTACCGCTTACTGCAGAGGTATATCTAATTTAATTTAGACTCTCTTCACTTCCAAGAGTGGCCTAAAGGGAATCTTAGAGACTGGGTTTCGTAGGTTCTCTGTGACGCTCTCGGGGCAGTATTTGAGTGAATTGTGAAGCAGTCTCTGTTGAATTCTTGTAGGTCAGTAGGGGACTAGAAGTGATTAACAGATATTGTGAGACAGTTTTCCTTGGCTTGATAGACAATGCTTTGTCCTGCTGTTCCTCTCTTGTGGTATGTTAGATGGAATTGTTATTTGATATATTTAGTTATTTTGAATTGTTGTAACCTTACCGTGTTTAAACGGCTGTGAATATATGAAAGTCATATATTTGAACTGCGGATAAAGACGTGAATATGAAAGCGATCTTCGATCTTACTGTGTTTATTGGTCATAACTTATTTGTTCATTTGTCTTTGAAAACACTTCACATAATTCCTGAATGGCAGTAACTGAACCCAAGGTTTTGATGAAATCATATTATTTTCCCTTTTTTAGAAATATTTTCCTCCTGTGAAGAAAAACAACTCTCTCATCGTACAGCACAGTTTTGGACATGGAGCTGAAAGAGCGGACATAATCACCCACGATAAGCTTGGTACGCTGTTAAACGTGTATATTATTTAGAACGCTTTTCGATTGAGTGTCTTAAAACCAAAAGCAAAGTAGTCACAACGACGGTCCAATCAGAAGAAAGAAAAATACGTGTAAGAGTCATGCAGTAAGTAAAAACAACCAAACTTCCTGAAGCGCGGGAAAACGCGGGCGACCGATTCGTGATTGGTTTTAGTTTTTCATCTGATTGGTTTAGAGAATGGCGCGAGTTTTCTGCACAAATCATAGAGCGAAGTAAAGCAAACCAACGTAATATCGGATAATTTTCGAAACTAAAAGGAAAATTGCTCTTACTATCAATTGTCAAAAGTTATCTAAGATGGCATTTGCTTTTCTTTGCTTCGCTGGTATCGTTTTGGAAAACTCTCTTTTACGTACCTATAAAGAAGGACAAGATAATCTCTGGTTTTAAGTTAATTCTGACTTAATAATCATTTAGTTTCTAATCTTTCAGTGTTGTTTGTGGAAGAACAGGCTAAAACTATCGCTGCACCCGCTGTCATTGCAAAGGAAACTGTTTTGATGCAGGTAAACGAATTTGCCAATGTTAACGTACATCAGTTCTAGGTTCGTCACTTCCAACCCACGCCAATTTTTTTCCATCCTTTGTCAATCTTTCAATCATCTGTGATTCTGTTTAGTTCACTCTTTCCTCTTGGAAGTTTTCTTCCACTCTTGCTTAATACTATCATTATTATTTTTTTTAAGAATTCCTTCTGGCAAAGGAATTTTGTTTCATGTATAGACAGCTCACAATGTCCATGGTCCAAAGTAAAGCAAAATAGAAAAAAAAAACTCTAAGAAGAAGAAGTCGTAAACCTTAGAGGAACAGGAATGGCTAAAGATGGAGACATCTAATACTTCTTGAAAATAAAGACCTTGAAAAATTTGATTTACATTTTTCATAGTACACAAACCACTAGGTAGCTTCTTTAAAGATCACGTTTTAAATAAGAATTCTACCCTTGATTATTTTAGTACCTTGTTGAATCGAAGCTTGATCAAGTGTTCCACGAGTTTTTAGTTGACCTCGTGACCGACGAGGAGTTCATCCCTCCAAATCCTTACCCTAGATTGACATCTGAACTCTCCGTGGCTGCCATGAAGTAAGATAACAGATAGCTTAACCTTTTTAATTCTGGTAGTGACTAACATCTAATTTCTCCTTACGGTACCAAGGAATCAAACAGCAAGGTCGTTAGAATAGAGCGAGTGACACTGCAATCAGTGATTGGTGATGTTTTTTGATCTGATCGGTCGAGAAAGAGGCGAGAGTTTTCTGAACCAATCACAGCAAAGCAAAGTAATCACAGTAAAGCAAAATCAAAACAACTTCGGATTTTAGAATAGAGGAAATGATCCGCATCTAAAAAATACTCGATTGTTGAACAAATTATCCTTGTTATTGTCATAACAAATGTTGAGAGAAGAGTACAGAGTATACAAATACTAATGTTAGGTTGAAACGTGGTAAAAGCGAGTGTCACTGAAATTAGTGATTGGTGATATTTTTTAATCTGATTGGTCGAGAGAGAGGCGCGAGTTTTCTGAGCCAATCACAGCAAAGCAAAGTAATCACAGTAAAGCAAAATCAAAACAATTTCGGATTACTTTAGAGACTCACTTGAAAATTGTTCTAGTCAGGTGTATAAATAAGGGAAAACTCCGTTTGTACCAGCCTGGCTCATTTTGCATCATCCTCTGACAGTCTTTGCTCTGCTGCAGAATGGACCTGTTTGGAGAGAAACCTGCAAAGCTGTTGTCCAAACTTGTGACAACTTCTGTTCAACCTATCGATGTAGACAACTTTGTGTATCATATTCCTGGCATTGAAGCATATGGTGAGTGATTAGTGTTATTTTCATCTTTTCAAAAACTAATTCAGACTCTTCCCCCACCCGCTCCTCTTACTTCTCACATACAGAACTCCTTTACCACTTCGGTTTTTTTGTTGTGGATGGTATTGTTGTTATTGTTTATATTGTTTTATTAACGTGCCATTATTGGCCAACAGGCTCGGTAAGTGCGATAGCAGCGCTGGATGGGAGACATTATAACACCCTTCGTTCCAGACTGCACAGTGTTGCCAACAAAGTCAGCACAAGAATCACGGTTGCAGGTTTTTCGGTAAGTTTACTTATGCTTCCGGTTCTGGCTGAGCAGTTGTTTTGGCCTATTTGAGTTATTGAATATTTCTGGTTAACTGAATACCTAGATTAAGAGTAACTTGAATGATGGTGGCATATTTTTGTTATTGGACGATTTAGTGCATTTGAAAAGGCATGTGAAGCTTGTGTTCATTAATACCAGCTTACTTGCATTCAATGTAAAACATTTACATCATACTGACACGAGCTGCCGAGTAAGAGGCGTATGGAAATATAACAGCCTGGTAAACTTAACTGTTTAAATTATAAAGTTCGATTGATTTAAATTTTTTCACTACTAAATTCATTTTTCTAGACTGTTGTTGACCTGGGTGTGTGTGGTTTTAGCCCCATCTATGGTCGTATGATGCCATATTTACACGATGTGGACCTTGAGGAGCATTATTTTGTTCAAGGTCCAAGTCAAAGGAAGGCAGAAGCCATACAACACTTCGCTAAACTTGGTGAGACGAAATCCTTACTAACTTCTCTGCAGTTTCATATAAAGTGCATTTCGATTGAGTGTCAGTAATCTAAGATCAAAGAAATCAACCCAGGTAACCATAGGAAAGGAAAATATAACTAGGAGTCGTTTAGTAAATAGAAGCAAACGGCTTTAAAACGCCAGTGACCCAGTCGCGACTAGTATTCACTTTTAATCTGATTGTTTGAGAAGGTGGCGCGAGTTTTGTAGACCAATCACAGAGCTAAGGAAAGCAAAAGGAGAGGAGTCTGTCGAGTAATCCTGGAAAATTACTCTTATAAGAGAAAGGCTGTGAACTCGACAACCACGTTTATACTGGAAAATTTTCAGGTTGAAACTTTTGATAAGATTTTCCTTGAAAGGTCCCTTTGTCCAAACCTGACGTGCCACTTTTTATTTTTAACACAGCGCATGTGAACGGTTATGCTGTCGTGTGCTCCAAGTGAGACAGGGTGACAGTCAGCAGCAGTGGGATTTTGTGAGAGAAAAAGAAAATGAGTGAAAGGTCCTAGTCCAGTTTACTACTCGCTCAACTAAACTTTGCGTGCTTTTTTTACTTTTGTAGTATACGAGCATCTTGTGGACTTCAGTGAAAAGGAAGATGTTCTCTTTCTTGGTAAGCAACAGTCTTTTTTTGAAAAATATCGTGAGCAGGCTGTTCGATTAGGGTACTTCGAATCAACGAGATGGTGTGTGTTAAGTATGAAGGGTAGTGCTTCTTGCCTTAGCAATCTAACCCAGTCTTTAAGATCGTGGGGCTCAAAGATTTTTCTCTCAACAACAGTTTGATTGACTCTTTTGCACGACATGGATGACTGCTTGTAGTTCTGATTTTTGATAATTGATGTTTTTTGAAGGTTTTTTCCTCGGTGGAGAAACTCTGAGGCGAAGTCTTCACGACATTGTTCCTCCTCAAAGAAAGAAAGCTTTCCTCTTACAGTTGATTTCCACTGTAAAATCCAAACAGTCTCTGTATTTGAGAGTATGTATCCAAACTTTATATTCTGTCTTTGTTTTCCTTGTACCTCTGTCATCTTAGCTTGCGCAGCTGGCGGTCTTGTGTGCGCTTTGACGGGTTAAGCAGCGGAGCCTTGGACGCTTCGCCTTTAGTTTGCACACTTTCGTCGCTCATGGCTATTTGAGAAGCGCTTACTAAACTGTCCGTAGGTTCTTGTCATGTTCGAACTACAGGGATACGCAACATTGAATTCTAACAACTGTGTTTACAGGTGTATGTTGCCTTTGATTGGCGGCTTGTCATGGTGAAGAAGTCTTTTTGCCTGCACTTTTTGCAAGGACAAGAACAAGGGTGAGCCAACTAACCTGTCCCGTATGGTGTATGGGTGTATATTGCTAAACTAGTCCTCAAAGCATCGTGTTGCTTAGCAACATCTCGATCTTAAACCGTAAACTTCCTTCACGCTTGGAATTTATTTCGTCGATGTTAACTGTTCGCTTTGATTTTTCCAATGAAACTGTCTCCCAAGTGACAAAATTGAGCGTAAAGTTGACGCCAAAATCGGGGCTAGCTCTATCGTGATTTAAACAACGTGGCCCTTATTTACAGTAGATGACCGGTTGAATTTATTTTGTAATATCCAGGAAATTGAATTCTTTTGTTTCTGTTACTGTATCACTTTTGATTTCAGTTTATTTTTGACACTATCGTTTCAGTTACGAGCGGTTTTATAACTCAAACAGCAATCCACTGGCGTTTTATCAAATAGTCTTCTCAAGACAGGATGCGGTAAGTTACAAACAGTACGAGAAAATACGGCCAGACAGCAAATGATAAATGAAAAAGTGATTAAATAAAATAAAATGAAATAAAATTATTAAAATAATGCGCGGAACCGAGTTTTCACGAAATTTGAACTGAAATGCGTTATTCATCAGTGGGTGTAGTTTCCCGCATGCAAAAAAACAATAGGGGGTGCATGTTGATGATGCATGGTTAGCATTGATAGAGGTACTCCGCTGAGGTTTGAACTCAACATCAACCTTGACTGTTATTATAGGCGTCGTTATACACACGATGCTGTGGACCCAAGGACCGCACGGACCCATGCAAAGGAGAGAATCTGGTACTTAGTTTAGTTCACGTGGATCACTACATAGAGCGAGCTAAGGAAGAAGATGACTTATTGGCTGTTTATCGGTGGCTCATGGTGAAGTCGCTTATGAACCAGGTGAATGGAACTTCTGAAAATTTGAAATTTAGTCCAATGTAATCTGGAAAAAACGTTGGATGTTCGTTGCTTCGTTCCTTGTGTTTGATCTCGAAAACTCGCGCCACCCCCGCGACCACTCAAAGGCAAAACGTCGCTCTTTGATTGGTCGAGAAAATTCTCTCTTAAACCTTTCAACCAATCAGAATCACGTGAAACGTAAACCATTCGCGCCTCAGGCTGTTTACCTGTTTTTACTCTGAGTACTCATTGATTCCCTATAAAAATGTCTTCTCTTCCGAATGTAACTTGTGATAACCTTGGTTTTGGTTTTACATCACTCAGTTGAAAAGCGCTCAGTTCCCTTAATAGAGGTAATTTTCTCATTAATGGCCAACAAATGAAAACCACGATACTTAGATTTTGATTCCGTCGTTTGGGAAGCCCTCTAGGCCAGTCGGTATGATATGGTATAGTGAGTGAGTGTTTTGATGTTTTCACAGCACCAGTCGTATCTTGTAGAAGCATGGCGCATGTTCCATAGTGTGGCCTCCCAACTTGAGTACTTATGTACTGTCAATAGGACACTACAGAGCCTCGTAAATGAGGAAGTCAGCAGAGCATTCAGACCGGTGTTGGACGACGATGAGAGAACGGTAGGAGACACTCCATATCTGGCAAATTGCGAGCAGCCGTTTTCTTTTTTATACGATAGAAAGACGATGAAAAAACGGAAGGAGACACGTCATGAAAAACTGCTAATTTTTACAGTAACGAGGAAAATTACTTCTGGAATGTAACTTTTTTCGTTACAAAGTAGTGATGATAAAAAAATGTTTTTATGTTAGGGTGGATGGTGGTCTTCATCCTTATAGGATAGCTACAACAAGAAAAACAATAACAAAAGTCTGTAATTGTTCTCTTTCTTGGCCGCCCACACCTAAAAATAAGTTGAACAGGTCAACTCTCATTGATTCTTTTCTTGGTTTTCCTAAAGTCACTTCTTGATGCCTCAGCTTTAAGTACCATGGTTACCGCGTATGGTGATAAACTGGAGCGGGTGTTATCCCTCGGGATAGCCCTAACGCCGAGTGGATTTTTGCCGCGCTTACAAGGTATTGAAGCAATCTAACTCGCCTTTATTTTCCGTTGTCAGATTAATAGGGTATTTTTCCGATGGTTCTTGCTTTTAGTTCGTTTGGATATTTAAAAAGTGAAATCACCTTCTCGTTTCTTTGCAGACAAAATCCGTCTAATGACTTCAACAGATCCAGTCTCTCGCAGATTAAATTTACTTATTTCGACTGAAGTAAGTAAGACACCTCACCTGATTATTTAACTGTTCATTTTGCTTCGTTAGGTTATTCGTTCTGTTCGTAACTGACGTGTTCTGTGTGTCTACAGACGCCGGTTATTCTACAAGAAATCAATGATCTGTTGCAGCCATTGTTGGATGCCGCTGCCCACAGTGTTCACCTAGCCTGTCCCGAGATTCATCACGCGTTGAAGTCCGTTGAGGTTGACGTAACGGGCCGAAACTCCCGTATGTTAGCTGAAAAAAAGTGAAAAAAACGACTTTCAGTTCTGATGACCTCTTGGAATCCTTTCATGCCCAAAATGTTACGGAAATAATTTATTTTTGAACACGTTTCTCAACAGAGCGCCACAACTTTCACGAAAGTTCGCGGTGGATGGTTTCAATGCTCAACCCTAGCCCCTCAGTTGATAAACGAAATTCAGGGATGCGTTTGCGAAAGAAAATCTAAATTAACCATCCGAGTGTTAACCCTCTACACCCTAACATCATTATGCATATTCTCCATACTCTTCTCTGTAGATTTCCTGAGGTACTGAGAAGGAGAATTTGTTTAACAATCAAGAGCTTCTTTAGTTAGTGAATTTTTTTTTCAGTTTCTTTTAACTCTCTGTCGTTAATAGAATTGATCTGAAGCAAAACAATTTTAAAGAAAACAATGAGTACTTTAAATGAAGCTAAAAGTTACACACAAGTTTTGTTGAGAATAACAAGGAAACAATCTGAGCCCCCCAGGATAGTAGCAGGTCCGGGGGAAGTCCGTGGCCCCCGCCCCCTACAGACAACGTGAGTGAGAGCGTTCTCTGATTTCTCGGTCCGATACTCTACCAACTGAATAACACAGAACGCCATATACCAGGTTCAAGTGTGACAAGGTTCCTGCAAGCTGGTGCGACCAGCCATGCGAGTGATTTGAGCCTTAAACGCCCGGGTTGACACTCCTCGGTTCAAGCCTTTCATACTGCCGTTGTATCGTTTTCCTATGCGTCATCCCTCGGGTAATAATGACTCGTTTTTCAGGATCCAAAAAGTCTCATGATTAACAGGTTATCCACGGTAGGATCAAATTTCGTCATTCTCGCTCCGATGTAATATCCATCGTCAGGTATCGTGACTCCTCCCGGAACAAGAGATTATAATTTCTAGTCTGAATTATTATCGTCTCTGTCCATCACATCAATCTAAAATTAAACTGAAAGTAAAATGTAGCTTTGCACATCACAAAATCTTTTTGTAACTTCACCCGTTCAAGCAAGGTTTAAGGTGACGGCGGTGTAGTGTTTGTAGCGGTAGAGCCGCCATGGCTGAAGACGTCAAAAAAAAGCCTACGGGTACCACAGAATGAGTGTAATGTCTTACCCAAGGGCATAGCATAATGTTTGAACTTGGACCTCCAGACTTCGAAATGGGCAATTGTGTCCAAACCTTCCAATTGGCCAATTTGCTTGAAAAGAAGACAAGCAACGAGGCGACTAGAAACATCATCGACGATCAAGAGTGGTTGGAAATGGAGTAGATTAGTGACCGATTTCAAGTTTTGGACACAAATGACCGATTTCAAATTTTGGACACTAGTGAGCAATTTCAAGTTATGGCCACAAATGGCTATTTTGGGTTTTGGACACAGTGGCCTATTCTGGATTTGAGACACTTGTGGCTAATTGGAAGTTTGGACATTAATAGCCGATTTTGAGGATTGGACCCTAGTGGCCGATTTTGGATTTTGGATACCAGTGGTCGATTTTGGATATTGGACCCTTTAGTGGCCGATTTTAGATTTTGGACACTAGTGGCCAATTTTGGAATATTGGACCCTCGTGGCCGATTTTAGATTTTGGACACTAGTGGCCGATTTTAGATTTTGGACACTAGCGGCCCGTTTTGGATTTTGGACTCTAGTAGCCGATTTTGGAGATTGGACCCAAGTGGCCGATTTTAGATTTTGGACACTAGTGGCCGATTTTGGATTTTGGACTCTAGTGACCGATTTTGAAAATTGGACCCTAGTGGCCGATTTTAGATTTTGGACCCTAGTGGCCGATTTTGGATTTTGGACCCTAGTGGCCGATTTTAGATTTTGGACCCTTGTGGCCAATTTTGGATTTTGAACCCTTGTGGCCGATTTTGGATTTTGGCCCCTAATGGCCGATTTTGAAGATTGGACCCTAATGGCCTATTTTAAGGATTGGACCCTAGTGGCCGATTTTAAAGATTGGACCCTAGTGGCCGATTTTGGATTTTGGACCCTAGTGGTAGATTTCAATGACCGATTTTGGATTTTGGACATTAGTGGCCAATTTTGAATTTTAGACGCTAGTAGCCGATTTTGGATTTTGTACAAAAATGACCGATTTTGGACTCTAGTGACCGATTTTAGATTTAGTGGCCGATTTTGGATTTTTGGACACAGTAGCCCATTCTGGATTTGGGACACTTGTGGCTAATTGGAAGGTTCGGACATTAATAGCCGACTTTGAGGATTGGACCCTAATGGCCGATTTTGGATTTTGGACACCAGTGGCCGATTTTGGAGATTGGACCCTAATGGACGATTTTGGATTTTAGACACTAGTGGCCGATTTTGGATTTGGACTCTAGTGACCGATTTTGAAGATTGGACCCTAATTTCCGATTTTAGATTTTGGATACTTGTGGCCAATTTTGGATTTTGGACCCTAGTGGCCGATTTTGGATATTGAACACTGGTGGCCGAATTTATGACGATTTTGGATTTAGGACATTAGTGGCCGATTTTGAATTTTAGACGCTAGTAGCCGATTTTGGATTTTGTACAAAAATGACCGATTTTGGATTTAGGACAGTAGTGGTCGATTCCGGATTTTGGACACTAGTGGCCGATTTTGAATTCTGGACATTAGTGGCCTATTTTGAATTTTGGACACTAGTGGCTGATTTGAAGTTTCGGACACTAGTGGTCGATGTTGGATTTTGGGCAGTAATGGCCTATTTTGGATTTTGGCCACTAGTGGCCGATTATTTGCAAATTATTGATATAGTTAAAAGACGACGGAAACTTTTGAAGCACTCAGAATACTTTTTTTTATCGTGTTCATTCTTAGTAATCGTTGTTCACGCTCAGTTTTCTGTTCATCCTTTCTGTTTTTCAAATGTATCAAACTAATAATTTGTTGTCAGTTTTAAGTAGACAAAAATCTTCCAAATGTCATCAAATAAAGACGGTCAAAGCCTGAAGTTTGATTTGCATTGCAAATTTTTTCAACGCCCTCATTTTATATTCAACGTTGTCCAACGTTACTACACGAGGAGTCGAAACTTTGGCTTCTCCTGGAAAAAGGTCTCTAAATATCGGCTTATGTCGAAAAAATTGTCGCCACAAGAGTCTTAGACGTAAAGGACTGTCATTGGAACTTCAGTGTCCTCCTCATCATCAAAAATGTTTGGTCTACGTATGGGTTTGGAGAAAGCAATGGCGACGTCTTTGAGGCGCACATGGACGACTGCTACGGTATGTATCACGCTATCCGTTTTATTGCGTATTTTGAATATCATTGAGGTAGATATCACAGAAAACAGCAAGCAAAGTTGATTTGCACGTAATTGTGTGTTGGGTACATTGGCTTTGAGGTCTTACTCATTTGATTGGCATTTTAAGCGTGCTTGATAATTGTAACTTTACAGGCGAGTTTTGCCCTTGAACTTGGTTGAGTTGTTATTTGAGTTGTTAGTTTAGAAGTCCAGCTCAGAAGTAAACTAAGAGGCCAAACACAAACCCCTCGCACCGAGCCATCGGAAACATAGAATGAATGTTGTCATGCATTGAAATATGAAATATTACAAAAGCTAGGCTAATTTAGATTTTGTGAAAATCTCAAGTCGTGATGTTCACCGATTGTATTCCTAATTGAGGGAATTTTTTAATAAGTTGTCGAAAGTCATCCGAAATTGCGTTTAATCGGGAACCGAAGAGGAGAATTTTTAACGGCTTGATTCGATAGTTTCTTTCTCACAACTCCTATTTTCCGTTGTTTCTTTTGTACAAAATAATTTGTGCTAAGCTCAAAATACAATTAAATCGGGAAAATATTGGAAACTTGAAGTAAGCGGTTGATGGAGTGACATAAAAAACTCACATTGGCCAATGCCTGTTATCTTTTACTTAGCAGCCGACAATGTACAGTATATCCTCTCAAGGCTGTAGCTATCATTATCAATCAGATAATTAAGATAAGTCTTTTTATCTTCTGGGTACCATATCTATGTGTGACAAGCCAAAGGCTTTATTAAATGCTGTTTTAAAAAGGGAGGTAATCATTCCACAGTGATGCATAACATTTCACAGGTAGCATTTGAGTGAAAAAAAGAAAAAAACCAGAGAATTTTTGATTATCAATCTATACAGTAAACATTTTGTTGTAAAAAATGAGAAAAAGTCTGGAGAATTGATACAACTTCCTTTTCTGTGAACGTTCTGAGCTCTCCTTATGACCATACACTTTGTCCAAACAAATTAGCCTCTAGTTTTAGAGTTATTTTGCCTTCAATAAAATTAATTATAAAAATGTACTATGCATGACTTGTTCACAATTTTTCTAAAGATTATTGATATTTTAAGGATTCAAAAACCGGCTACAGAATAAATGCTTTGGATTTGTCTGGTTTTTTTGGGCCAAAACTAATCAGTGACGCCAATAAATGGGAATTTTTCAATCAGTCGTCGAAAGTAATCCGGAAATGAATTTCATCGGAAACTGACGAGGACGATTTGAAATGGCTGTGCCGGCTAGTTTTCTTTTTCATGACTCTAATCTTTCGTTGTTTAGCCCGCAGATTCTTCCGTACAAAATAATATGTGAACTAGATTTAAATAAAAAAATACATAAATTTAATTTGTTCCTTTTTTTTTGTTTCTTTGATCAAGCTGATTTCTCGTCAGGTTTAGAGGAATATGCATAAGATATTGTCTCACTGGCTTAGTGATCTGAATAGTTTTGGTAGGGGCTGGTTTGTCCACTATGCAAAAAAAAAAAACCACAACACAACACAACACACAAAACAAAAAAACAAAACAAAGAAAAAGAGAAAAAGATCAAATTTTCATTTTAATGAGAAGTTTTCTCTCCAAGAAAGACATTCCTGTTTTCTATGAACTGACGTCAATACATAGAAATGGTTTTGTTTATTTTGAAAAGTGATCAATTTTCAATTTCTCCTCGTAATTTCAAAACAAAGTCAAGTGTACCAGGCAGGAGAATATAGGAAACAATCAAGTTGAATTGATCAAGTTAAATAAAATGTTAGGTCATTCACCAGTATGACGGGAACGAACAAATAATATCATATGTAAAGTGAAGTTAACAAAAAAAAGTTAAGAATTTATCACGAATAAATCGTTTGGCCATCAGCGAGAAGATTCCAGGACGTATTATTAATTACTTCTGGATTTGATGCTATTTATTTCAATTTACAAGATAACTTTTGAACATAATGTTCTTTGTTAGTTTCGAGATTGAATGAACTTTAATTTGCTGCGGAATGATGCAAAAAAAAAAAAACAAAAAAAAAACCAATTAGCTTTGACGGTTATCCTTTAGGGTTAGAGCTTTGACAGCTTTGCCTTGACTTGACTAACTTGACTAACCTGATACATTAAAACTACCTTTAAAAGTCTTTGAATATAGATCATGTTAATGGTGTGAGTGTGTGTGAATGTGTCGTGTATGTATGCAGATGTCTACATTTTACATGTAACATCACAAGACTAGTATTTAGCTAGGAAATTAAGCGGTTTACCTAGACTCTGGGCTGTTCCACCTAACACTGTAGATGCATGTCTACATTTAATTTTATTTCCTATATATATATCTATAGGAATTACATTTAGCTAAATATAATTATATATTTAATGTAATAGGTTTAGGAAATGTGTGATTAACTATTGTTGTTATTGTTGGTCGTATGCAACATGACGTTACAGTGATCAATAACTATATTTCTTTTTTTAAAAGGTTTTGGACATCACGGAAAAGAAAACGAGAGATAACGAAGCATCAAAATCCTATAACGTGGACAGAAGAAGACGTGGAGATAGACATAGAACTGATACAATTGAATTACAATCACTACAAGATCATTTCTGAAAAAAAAAACAAAAAAACAAAGTAAGTTACCATTTTACGATACCTAAATGAAATAGAAATATTGATTCATGATTGTCTTCATATCTAAACGATTCAAGCCGAACATCTTCTGCCTAGACGAGCTTTATTCGTTCGTTAATTTTTAATGATC